AGTTCTGATTAGAGTTCCCACTTCCTTTTGACGAGACGAAGAGTTCCCTATAGTTAATAACAAGAGTTCCGCTCAATAAACATTTTTTTTACATTTTTTAAAAATGGGGTGCTAACTTTTTATCGAATTTCGAGGTGGAATAGTTCTGAGCGGCTTAATAGCTTCAATTTGCGATTGCCTAGAGTTTCTGATATGTAAAAAAAAATTAAAAATTTTTGAAATAATAAAAATAAATTTAAAATTATGGAAAAATTAATTTTTAGATACAATAGTTCTGATGATAATTCCTGCTTCTTTTGACGATACGAAGAGTTCTCTATGATTTTTAATGACATATGCGCTTAATAATCATTTTTTAATAATTTTTTAAGAATGGGGTGCTAACTTTCTAACGAAATTCAAGGTCGCATAGTTCTGATCAGCTTAACAGAAGTATTTTGTGAATACCTAGAGTTCTTGATACATACAAAACATTTTTGAAGAATAATAAAGTTTTAAAAAATAGTAGAAATTTTTGGAAATATATTTTTGAGAGTACCGAGTAGTTCTGAGTTGCGTTTCTTATAGTACTCGACGAGTTCTATCGAAAACTGTAAGGTGGAAAAGCGATTGCACCAACGGTTTGCAAGATACAGCGATATTTGTCAGATCAATAATTTTTAAAGTGAGTATATCTCGGAAACCGTTGGTCCAATCGCTTTGAGCCCTAATACTTTTCGACAGAACTCGCCGAGACCTGTCCAGAACTCCGATCAGAACTACTCGGTACTCCCAAAAAATTTTTGACCAAAAATTTTTTTCTAAGTCCCACGTCGGAAAATTTTGTGGGAGTACCGAGTAGTTCTGATCGCAGTTCTGAACAGTTCTCGGCGAGTTCTGTCGAAAAGTACCAGGGCTCAAAGCGATTGGACCTATGATTTCCGAGATATACTCTAAAAATTGTTGATCTTCTGACAAATGTCGCTGTATCTTACAAACCGTTGGTCTAATCGCTTTTTCACCTTACAGTTTTCGATAGAACTCGTAGCGAACTATAAGGAACGCTACTCAGAACTACTCGGTACTCTCAAAAAATTTTCCGACGTGGGACTGCGAAAAAAATTTGAAGTTAAAATTTTTTGGGAATACCGGGTAGTTCTGATCGTAGTTCTGGACAATTTTCGGCGAGTTCTGTCGAAAAATATCAGGGCTCAATGCGATTGGACCAATGATTTCCGAAATAAAACTTTAAAAATTGTTGATCTTCCGACAAATGTCGCTGTATCTTGCAAACCGTTGATCCAATCGCTTTCTCACCTTACAGTTTTCGATAGAACTCGTCGTGTACTATACGAAACGCTACTCAGAACTACTCGGTACCCTCAAAAAAATTTTCTAAGATTTCTACTATTTTTTTAAAACTTTTTTATATTTCAAAAATGTTTTTTTATATATCGAGAACTCTAGGTATTCACAAAATAATTCTGTTAAGCTGATCAGAACTATGCGATCTTGAATTTCGTTAAAAAGTTAGCACCCCATTTTTAAAAAATTATTAAAAAATGATTATTAAGCGCATACGTCATTAAAAATCATAGAGGACTCTTCGTATCGTCAAAAAGAAGCAGGAATTATCATCAGAACTATCTAAAAATTAATTTTCGAAAATTTTTTTTTTTTTTTATTATTCGAAAATTTTTTTTACATATCAAGAACTCTAGGCAATCGCAAATTGAAGCTATTAAGCCGCTCAGAACTATTCCACCTCGAAATTCGATAAAAAGTTAGCACCCCATTTTTAAAAAATGTAAAAAAAATGTTTATTGAGCGGAACTCTTGTTATTAACTATAGGGAACTCTTCGTCTCGTCAAAAGGAAGTGGAAACTCTAATCAGAACTCCTGAGTACTATAGTTGGGGTGCTAACTTAACATACCCCCACACATTAAGAGTAAAGTGTCTCCAAACAATCAGTACTAGCCAACTTTTTGACTTTTTCCGACAGTACTGCAATAGTTCCAAAGAAATGTGCAGGTGTCGACCCGAGTACTCCTCGTTTAATATGTTTAAATAATTTTTTAAGTTTTTCGTTGGCACCGCACGTCAAGAGTAAAGTACCCCTAAACGGCCAGTACTGGCCGACTTTTCAACTTTTTTCTACTGCAGTACTACAATAGTTCCGAAGAAATATACAGGTTTCGACGCGAGTGCTGGCTGTTTAGAGGCATTATACTCTTGACGTGCGGTGCCAGCGGAAAAATTAAAAAATTATTTAAACGTATTAAACGAGGAGTACTCTTGTCGACACCTGCATATTTCTTCGGAACTATTGTAGTACTGTCGGAAAAAGTCGAAGAGTCGACCAGTACTGGCCGTTTAGGGGTACTTTACTCTTGACGTGCGGTGCCAGCGCGCGAATCGAAAAATTGTTTAAACATATTAAAAAGGTGGGTAGTGTCACTAAAACCAATCAGGAACTGTAGTACTCTTCGAGTACTACAAAATGGCGCAAAAAGAATAATATTTTTGAAAGTTGAGGTGCGAGCTCTTTTTTTAAAAATTTATTTAAAAATATTTAATAGCCGGTACTATTGTTATAATCGATCAGGAACTGTAGTACTCTTCGAGTACTGTGAGATTCCGTCATAAAAATCGGCTTTTTCAAATCTTGCGGTGCCACGCGAAGTTAGCACCGCATATTTTTATTTTTTAAAATTTTTGGCCTAAATCAACAGTACTATTGATGAAACCTATCAGGAACTCTAGAACTATTGCGGGTGCAAGCAGTACTGTTATTAAAATTTCCGATTTTTAAAGTTGAGGTGCTAACTTCACAGAGACTGCACGTCCATCCATTTTTCAAAGAAAAATAGCAGCAAGTGAAAAATCAACTACATATTCTTGAAGGGCTTTTTTTTGCTAATTTAAATTCTACTTCAAAAACACTAAAATCAAAATCCCCCTTATATTCCATCCGCCAGATTAACGAAAACAGATTTTAGAAGAATGAATCAAAACGCCATTTTGAACTTTCAATTTTTAAATACGGATTCGTAACGAACGTCCCCGAAAACCACCTGTAACCAAATTTCAACAAAATCGATGAATCTTAAGGATTTCTGTAACATTTCCGTCCGCCATATTGGATCAACTATTTCGAACTTTCAATTTTTGAGAACGGATTCGTAACGAACACCCCCTAAATCACTAATATACCTAATTTCACCAAAATCGAACAATCTTTAGGATTTACGTTAATTTTACGTTCGTCATATTAGATCCACTATTTCGAATTTTCAATTTTTGAGTACAGATTCGAAATAATCGACCCCGAAAATCCTCAAATACGAAATCACATCAAAATCAGAGAATTCCAACAGCCTCAACGAAAAGAGGCTTCAAAAAAGCGTGACACGCCAATTTTAAGATATGATGATACTTTTACACCAATAAAGAATTATAAATGAAAGATGATTATATTTTGATTATTTTACTGACGATTGTATATATTCCAGAAGGAAAAATAGAGCACGAGCTTATTGGGGATAAATCGATTTTTAATTGACATGTTAATAGTTCCTTAATGATATTGTTGGTTATAACATATTATTAATATAAATTAAACCAATATTTTATTAATTGTTTTTACATGCTGATGTGTTTCCAAAAAAGCTATTCTACTATAAGCTATAATTGAAACTTCGAGTTACGCGAATAAAGATCCTCTGGATCGTTATATATTTCACTTGCCTTGTATTTTCATATAGGAAGTATAGTTTACGATTTATTAACGTTACCATATGCAGCGAAGTGTCGTTTATCATTGGTAATATCTTTTTACGATTAATATCAAAAGCGCTTTCTACGAAAGATCTCATGCTTTCGATGGTACGTTGCGTAGCCGTTGATCTAATCTAGAATATAAACGTCAGGTTGATTAAATATTTATTAATTAATAATATAAATATAAACATTTTTTCAAATCTTGCGGTGCCACGCGAAGTTAGCACCGCATATTTTTATTTTTTAAAATTTTTGGCCTAAATCAACAGTACTATTGATGAAACCTATCAGGAACTCTAGAACTATTGCGGGTGCAAGCAGTACTGTTATTAAAATTTCCGATTTTTAAAGTTGAGGTGCTAACTTCACAGAGACTGCACGTCCATCCATTTTTCAAAGAAAAATAGCAGCAAGTGAAAAATCAACTACATATTCTTGAAGGGCTTTTTTTTGCTAATTTAAATTCTACTTCAAAAACACTAAAATCAAAATCCCCCTTATATTCCATCCGCCAGATTAACGAAAACAGATTTTAGAAGAATGAATCAAAACGCCATTTTGAACTTTCAATTTTTAAATACGGATTCGTAACGAACGTCCCCGAAAACCACCTGTAACCAAATTTCAACTATTTCGAACTTTCAATTTTTGAGAACGGATTCGTAACGAACACCTCCTAAATCACTAATATACCTAATTTCACCAAAATCGAACAATCTTTAGGATTTACGTTAATTTTACGTTCGTCATATTAGATCCACTATTTCGAATTTTCAATTTTTGAGTACAGATTCGAAATAATCGACCCCGAAAATCCTCAAATACGAAATCACATCAAAATCAGAGAATTCCAACAGCCTCAACGAAAAGAGGCTTCAAAAAAGCGTGACACGCCAATTTTAAGATATGATGATACTTTTACACCAATAAAGAATTATAAATGAAAGATGATTATATTTTGATTATTTTACTGACGATTGTATATATTCCAGAAGGAAAAATAGAGCACGAGCTTATTGGGGATAAATCGATTTTTAATTGACATGTTAATAGTTCCTTAATGATATTGTTGGTTATAACATATTATTAATATAAATTAAACCAATATTTTATTAATTGTTTTTACATGCTGATGTGTTTCCAAAAAAGCTATTCTACTATAAGCTATAATTGAAACTTCGAGTTACGCGAATAAAGATCCTCTGGATCGTTATATATTTCACTTGCCTTGTATTTTCATATAGGAAGTATAGTTTACGATTTATTAACGTTACCATATGCAGCGAAGTGTCGTTTATCATTGGTAATATCTTTTTACGATTAATATCAAAAGCGCTTTCTACGAAAGATCTCATGCTTTCGATGGTACGTTGCGTAGCCGTTGATCTAATCTAGAATATAAACGTCAGGTTGATTAAATATTTATTAATTAATAATATAAATATAAACAATAATAATAAATATAAATAATATAAATAATAATAATATATACAATACGATTTATTTATTATGTTAAAGAACTATTATATTATTTATTAATTTTATTTATTATATTAATTTTATATCTATCATATATATATTTTATATTGCATTTTACAATTGTAAGAAAACAAAAATTAAACCTCTCGAATCATTACCTTGAAATCCTTGGTCACGTTGCAGTCGAAGAACATCGGCAATTTTGTTCTGATTCTTTCGGCAAGTGACGCCAAATCTTTTTCACCCTGTACTGCTAAGTATTTTCCCTTTGTCGGAACCAGCTCGGGGTAGGGCACCCAATTCTTCAGATTCATCTTCTCGTCCTGAGATGTGCCTACGGGGAAAAAATTTAAGCAATAAGCAAAACATTAAGGTCAAATATTAAAACACGAGTACTCAGATGGCCGATAACAATAGATTTATTAATTTAGCCACCATCTTACGGTACATTTCGGCTTAACTTAGCCCTCTTTAGCTGTGAATCAACTTAAAATTTATATATTGTATAAAAAAACAAAGTAAGTGCTGATATTAAATAAGAAATTAACTTAAAATTATCATACATATATATATATATATATATATATATATATTTATTATATTTCCATCTGTGTCATCAAAATGTAAATCAACCCATTAATATTACGTTGCTCTTTTATCTTTTATAGTGCACTTTTTTATCTTGTAGTTTGATTTGTAGGACACACAATAATCATCAGTCAGAATTTAGAAACCTTGGAATCTTCTCACTCACAGGTCTCGAATACGTTGCTCGTTATTATTTGATTTCGAATATGGGTAAGATTCAAGATCTGCGCGATTATAGACTCGCCAGGATATCGCGTCCCATGTCTGACCAGCATCCATATCTGCGTCGGTTCGCAGTCTGAAAATTTTGATTAGGTTCCATTCAACTTTGACGAAGTAGAAAATCTTTGCTAATATTCATCAGGGCTCCTCTTATACGGCGACGAATACTCACTCGTTAGAGTCATAGTTCCTTCGGTACCATTATGAACGTAAGAATACGGGGTTTTAGAACCGGTGTAAGGATAAAAGCTCCTGTTTTCGGAGTGACAGCTCACAGGATTCCCTAACACTGCGCTTTTCGCCAGACATATTACGATAATGGGAAAGAGTTTTCTATACATCCTGCAAATCCTCGCTGTTTAAATGAGAAAAGGGAAACTATTGATTGACTTTAATCACATTTTCTGGAAACAATAAAGCAAATAGTCTTTCAAACAAATAAATCTAATGCGAGAAAGTAACGTAATATACAAGATGTTGAAATTAATCTGTTATTTTCGAATGATAAAAATTGAAATAGAAACGTCCACTGCAATAATCGTCAATAATTTTCAAATAAATTGTTATTTTAAAAATATCACCTGTCTAGAGAGATCACGAAATCTAAAGTAATATTTTCCTCCTTGAGAGAGAATAGCGACTACTCTCGCACGAACAAAACACATGGACTGATGGGCAAAAATGTTGTTTTCAACTCAATATTATTAGCGGACCATGTCCCTGAGATGATTTTGCATAAATGCAACCAGTTCTATGTATAATAATAGTGTTAGTGATTATTCCAGGTAGTAGCGCGTGATTTATTTGCGTAATCACGGAGCGAAAAGTTCTATGAAGGCAAAACTTTGCTATCTATTCGCATAATGAAACTTTTTTTTTTCGTAATCGAGAACTCATTGACGAATCCCGAAACTCGCATATTATTCATAATATACACCGAAGACGCTGCACTGAGCATGAAAAGTACGACCCTCGAAGGAAAAAGCGGAGTATTTGTCTCTCTCGCTGTCCCACAGAAAGCCGAGTGTGGTTTCTACGGATTGACTGGCCTTTTCGATTATTGTAACTGTGACAATAATTTTATGCCTGGAAGAGAAAGAACGTCCGAAGAATTTTTGTGATCCTCAAAGCAACACAGTTACATTCAAAATACATTTAATAAACGTTAGTGATTATGCCATCAACTGAAAAATAAACAATACAAAGTTTTGAATAAGATCATTATGAAGATAAACGTTTAAAATTTTATTCTTTTTTTAAATTATTTAATAAACGTTATAAAAACGTTTGTAAAATGTTTGTAACGTCTATTAAATGTTTTTTTTTAATAATTTATCATTTGTATACGAGACATTTTTATAATTGTATATTTAATAACGTCTATTTAACGTTTTTGTCTAAACCTTTTTTTAATGCAAATTATTTACTTGAGTATTTGTGATATTGCTAAATATTTATCGAATCAAATATATTAAAAAATTTTAAGTAGAATCCAGAAATTTAATATCTCTCTCGTGCATTTATAGATTTTCGGATAAAAACTTAGATAAGAAATATAAATAAAACTATAACTTACATAAATTAGATAACATTATCTGAATATCTACAATAATAACTATAGTCAGTAATAGCTGTTACTTTTAACGAATTTGTTGAGTACTTTATTAAAAAGCTTTATTAATTAATTCTCTTTTTATTAATGTTTTATTTGTTTAAAACTTATAACTTTAAAATATATATTTTAAGAAATTTTTTTTAATTTGTTGAAAGATTTATACTAACGCACTGTTTCTCAAGTTACGTCCCTAGCTGTTTCTCAGCATTTATAAATATACCTTCATTATTCCGTTGAATAATGATTATGTTAATTTTAAGAATCAATTTATACTGATTATGTATCTTTTTTTAATCTCCTTTAAATTAATTCCTTCTAATAATACTACACTCGTAGAAACTTGTTATTTACATATACTTATAAATTAAATTGTTTGTGGAAATCCCTTTCCTCGGGAATATCATCTTCAAACCATCGAAAATGCAAATCTGCCTCGCACCTGTCGAAGTTAAGTTTCTTCACGCGCCGCCGTATCTCCGCGGCAATGTCGCCGCATAATTTTGTGGCCTCCGCATCGTCGTACGCGATTTCGTCCAAACGATTGTTCATCACCGATTTCACAATCTTGTCCACCAGATCGATCTTGAACGGATTTTCTGACTCCATACGATAACTATTTTGATATTTCGGTGCCTGCGACAAAGAAATTATTGTCAGTCTAAGGCAAGCATTCAAAATTGGTTCTTATTTCAAAACTGTTTTAGTAATGTCTTAAAACGCTAATACAGTCTTCTGATTAGTTCATGATATTTCAAGACTGAACTTAAGACAATTTGGAATATAAAAACTGATTATGAATATCGGTCTATGATTGTGTTTCAAATCTGAAAAATATGTATAATAACTGCAGGCTCGCAGTTTACTTCAACTAAAAATTGTATCACACAAAAATATTATTTTTATCGACCCATTTTTATCAAATATCGCCTTGATCTTTATTCATTTATGTTGAACATTTCTCAATTTCATTTTTACTTAATATTGGTAGAAAGGTCAAACAACGAGCAATTATAAATAGGTTAAAACATTAAAATTAATTTATTAATACAAAACTAAGAAGGGCAAAGAGCCAAATATTTTATTTGGCTCTTTGCCCTTCTTAGTTTTGTATTGTTTTATACATATAGAGCCTTCTCACTAATTATTTTAATTTATTAAAATATCAAAAAAAAAGATTAAAATTAATTTTCTATTAATATGTAATGTTAAAAGTTTAGTATTTTAATAAACTAGATATTTTAATTTTGATCTTTTTACCAATTTTATTATATTTGCATTGCAATTTCGAGTTTTAGAAAAATGTTGCAAATATTGTATTTACAACTTTTAAGATCTTTCTTTTAATCACTTTTTGTTTAATTTTTATTTTATTAAAAAATGTTATTTTATATATATGTTGTATTGTAACTATATTTTATGTTATAAAATATATCTTATTTATAAAATATCTATTTTTTATATATTATATATATGTTTTTCATTATTTATGTTAGAATTACGTTCTAAATTTATGTTTTTAAATTGCTTTTATCGATTGTCATTACATAACTCGCCAGATAAAAGGTATTGATTTAAAATTTATTAGAGAACTGTTATCAAACTAAGATCTTGGCATTATGACACATCGATGCGAATTCTGATGATGCCACGTGATTCGACAGAAATATTTCATATCGATGTTTTTACCTCATTGTCGTCGCAAGTTTTTTCACTGCCTTCGAGTTGGAACGGCATAACGTCGATTTCCTGATAAATTAATCAGAATGGACCTCTAGTAGTTTGTAAAGATTTTCCCACTCTTCTGCAACAATTCTCTGGTTGATTAATCCTTGCAAGGACGCACGTATCTAAGGTAAACGACAATCTGTTACTTAGAAACGCTGTCAAGATCGATCAACGGAAGCAAGAATAAATATTTGTGCATGAGTTAACAGAAATTTAAGAAAGAGGCTTAAATACGGGTTGAAAAGACAAAATTAGATCAGATTGTTGTTCATCACTGATAGAAATAAAGGAATAAAATATACGAGAAATACAATAAGAACATACAACAATTCCTATAAATTACAAAATTAATCAATTGCATTACAAAAAGTTTAAAATTTATTTAAAAACTTATTTAAAAGCAATATGAAAAGTATAATAAAAATCACTTATTTAAAAATGTTTTAAACTTTTAAAATTTTGAATAAACATATTGTAAAAATGTGAAACTTTTAGAAATTGTTTTTCTCTAGTTATTTTTTTTACAATTTTGTAGAACTTCTTAATCATTTTATTACTCACAATTTTGTGAATAACTTTATGTTTTATTATAAGGATGTTACATTACAGACAGACGTTATTTAATAATCATCTTTATTTAATTGTACATTGTATTTAATATTTGTAATATTTCCACCAGCACAATTTTCTCAATCACGAGCCTCAGAAAACGACGTGTTTTTATTATTACTTAACAATTCCTTTTCTTTCTACTAATATCTCAATTACGTAAAATGCATGCCAGAAAAATGCGTTGCCAAAATCGAGGGAATATATAAGCTTGCTTCAAAAACGATTTATGGATACGATGTGGAGTAAGAGCTTCTCGAATTCTCTTGAAACTTCCAAAGATTTACAGATATTCCAAAGAACTCTAATAATATTCCATCGTTTCGAGAGATCGATCCTCAAGGACGCAAACATGAAAATACATTCTAGAGGATCGTATGAAGCGTTTCTTTTGATTTTTCGCCACCTTTTGATCCATTATCGCTTATAATTATTAATAGTGCGATAAAAATACGCTCTCTAAAATATACTGGTATTACATTTATCGATACGTCAATTCCATTCACAAATCCTAAAGTGACACGACGAAACGGTCGTTATTTTCCAAATTTCAACGTGCAAGATCACAAGAGAAAGACACAGTTTCGAATAATTATTAAACTAAAATATCACTAGCTTTAGAAATTAATAATATACGTATGTACATATATTCATTATTTATAATTATAATCTATAATCTTTGTAATCATCTTCCTCTTTCGCGCCTACATTACAAGAATACTTATAAAATTACTTGCAATTATAAGTATTCGTTAATTAAAACATCGTTAATTTCCAAGTAAGTCACTTATTAAATTAAAATACCTAAAATTTCCGATAAATAAACTGAAAATGTTTATTTATCGGAAAACGTAGAACGCAGAGTTTAACAATTGTGCGTAAATGGTTACATAAACTCTCAAAAACTTAAAAGTAAACAATTTTAATACCCTTCTGCCTCAGTCCGAAGAGACTTGCATTCGATTCTTTAATTCTTTCGCGTTTCTGCAGAACTGGCGACGGATACATCTTCGTGAGGTAGGCGTCTAAAACTTTTTGCACCGTTAGCCTTTTGATGAGAGTTTCTGGTAGGAGCGGCTGCTGGATCGTCCTCGAGGGCGTCAAGCGCGTAAAGCGCGAACTCTCGACATTATGACGTACCGCTTTCCTTTTAAGCGACACAGTCAGCACAATTATAAATATCGTTCTATCATTGTCATTCATTGAATATCAAGAAGAATAGAACGTCGTTTGTGTCGAGTGTGTTCTTTAAAAGGAAAGCAACTTATGTAAAGCAAAGCGATGAAGCTCTAAGACAGCATCTCCACTTCCGCTTGAATGTTTTGACGTGCCTGCTCCTCCAGCTTGTCACGAAACTCCACGGTGGCGAAGATGTTCGGGATTTGCAGGAAGTTCTGCAATACCTGAAAGACGCAGGAACGTGAAAGAATTGCGCGAAGATAAATGTAATCACCCCTGTCTTACTTATCTTATTTACGCTAAATTATTTTCTAATTCACAAATAATATCTAAAGTAGAAAAAATATAATATGTTATAACTCTGTCCTTGATTAACATTCTGACTTCTCTTCATTAAAAAACTTTTTTTCGATAATCTTCTAATTGTAAGTAATTTTGAAGAATACTTGAATCTTTTTTTTTTACACAATCCAACGGAAATAATGGAATAAATTCTAATATTAATAATTTCGGAGAATACAATAATTGTTATGTTATAATTTATTATAATTTACTTAGGAATATTATACTAATTACATTAACTATTTAATTAGAATAATAATAATTATAATTATTATTCTCAGATTGTTATTAAAATTTGTTTCATTGATTTATTAATAACATTTTGTAAAAGATTAAAATATTTTCCAATTATTATTATAATAATTAAAATTATACAATAATTGTCATAATAATAATAAATATTATTATTATATTAGGACGATTTTCGTATTCTTTCTTATAAGTTCTTCGACGGATTATATTTCTGTCGTTCACATTTCAGGATTGATCGGAAGTGACTCACCTTTAGTCGTAGTGCCGTATACATGGGTTCGCTAAGGAAAGAGTATTCCCCACGTATTCGCTCCCTGTATTCAGCGTAATTTTCCGGAGAGGAGCCGAGTACCGCCATATCCAGATCCAAGAAGTAGTGAGCATCTTCGCTGCCGAAGGCACCGCCTACCTTGTGCGCCTCGGTGCTGTGAGTCGCCGCTACTTTGAGCAGAGCACAGGTCTCTTCCCTGAGTTCCGCATCCTGGATGATTAAATTACTCAAATTACTTTCATGAATGTAATCAACGGATCTTGGGTATTCATCTCTTTTATTTCATTTTTTATTAGACTTTAAAATGATGAAATCTTAAAATACGGTATAGTTAAAATTATTTGTTTTCTATTTTTTAGCGTTTTGACATTTTTTGTATTATATGGAATATATCTATCCTGAACTAATTTATCATGATAGGCACTTATTTTTTTATCTCATGTCTATTCGACTCCACTGACAAAATCTCACAAAAACTGTAATTAAACTTATTTTTCTTTTTGTATAATTTATATTAAAATATCATAAAATGAGTCTTTATTTCTTTTACTTTATTCTCGGCTCTCTAAAATATTGACAAATCTTAAAACAATTATATAATTAAAATTCTTTTTATTTTTGTGTTTTATTTTTTACTATTTTACAGTGATAATTATGTTAAAAATTAAAACTTACAAGAAATTAATTAACAACAAAGTTTCAAGCTGTTTACTTACCGACGGAATTTCGGCCTCGTCAGCAAAAGCATTGAAGTGCTCGAGATTTTTATCTTCACTAAAGACCAAAGCTTTAGGATCGTACTCAAAGCTGCAATAGGATATTCAAGTCAATTGCTGTCAATGAGAGCAACAATACAATATAACGATTCAATTGAATAACAGTGAATAAATAACAGCATTCTGCTAAGATTTTTATCGTTGCATTCAGCCACTCACTTTTGAAAAAATATGGCGAGCAGAACAGCTCGCGGGCTTTTGAGATTACTTTTGATTTCGTAGTAGTGATTTAACTTCTCCCTGAGCGAATCCAGATTGTGGTACGTGCGTTTTTCTTCTGAGTAGACTTCCTGCAGGCGCGTGAACCAAGAGTCGCAGACCGTAGCGTCCAGGTCTTCCGTAGCTTCTTTCCAGCTGTCTTCCAGTGATGCCATTGCCACTAAAATTATTCGATATCCATTTAATGTACGACGAATGTTTCACAAACATTAAAAATATGTGCGAGAAAAAGGAATTGAAATCGCCGTAAATGATTTATTAATTAGTAGCTGACGTGTTTACTGTATAGACTGATATATCGCTTCAACAAAGGTCGCAATTTCAGTATGAAGAATTTCAATTAAAACTGAAACGATTTACGCTTTTCCGGAGATTAATACTGAAATGATTAAACAGCAAGTGATTTAATGTTTGAGGAAAATTAGAAGGAATATTAACTATTTCCAAGAATTTGTAATTAAATGTTTGCTTCAAGACGTTAGTCGTTAATGGCTAAATTAATTAAAATTTAATTATCTCTTAAATTTTCTTTATAAAAATTTAATACTAAGAAGTGATTAATTACTTATTAAGCACTAAATAACAATGCTTTTAGTATTAAAAATAACTAGTTACTATCTTTTAATATTAAATTAACTAGTATCAAATTAGTTTTTTGTAAGGGTTGAGAATGGAAAGGAATACGATTTTTGTGGTCATTTCTGTTTCTATTTAACAATCTAATGAAAAATCATAATTTCAAAAATAGAATATTGAAAAGAGAAGATCTTTACATCCAATTTAATATCAGTAATTACTCATTTTAAATAACTTATTAAAGCATTGAAAGCAGTTCTTTTAATAGTTAAAACAAGTAATTAATCACCACCTTTTGTTATCAAATTTCTGTGAGAAAACTTAAAGATGCTCAGGCATTTACAGATGTGTAGAGATCAATGCCAGAGGATAACGTAGAATATTAAACAGTCAATTTCGTTCAAAATTGAAATGGAATTCGCGGATTCAAAATGAAGGAAAAATCTGAAAGTATCCACAGAAACGTTCAAGAAGCCGCGACATGTCGGGGGGACTGCTATAGGAGAAAGAGATCATAAACGCGAGTTTATGCGAACACGCTGAATCGTGGCACTCACTTAATTTCCGACGGACGAGGAGCCGCGGACACACGGTGTTTCGAGACAGATGGGAAATTACCGGGACATGATCCACTCGCGAATGAGCCCCGCTAAACTAGCGGAGCGTTACGTTGCGCCGCGTAGACCGACACAACGGTCCACCTCCACTTATTGATCGGTGGTGACTCGTTCCTGAACTTGTGGGTGCGACAGTTCTCGTCGCACATATGAAAATCACGCCTTCCTCGCGTGCGATTTCCGAGGGATCTTTGTAGTACAGGTACGATATTCATAGTCCGTCTTATTTTACGATGGTCTTAAGAGAGACGTCCTCAAGATCTCATACATCTCGAATATATCTTTAAGATTTCTCTATAATGTATTTTAAACTATATTTCTGTGTGGGATAATATATAACCCTGTGATTTGTGTGGCTTATAATATCTTAAAACTGTAATACTTAAAACAATTTCGAATATAATAATTAATTATACCGGTAGATTCGTTTTTAATTACTGCACTGGATTGCACAATTTTCCTTTTCGCTTTCACAATATTTTAAACATATAGTAAGGTCTGTTTTTTCACTATTAAATTTATAATATCAAATTATATCCAATTTGAATTATTTTTAATCATAATTCTTATAGATCGCCACTATTTCTACTTATTATGTCGTTAATTTAATTCAAGAAATGTATTATTGAGTTTGTACGTTAATATAATATAAATACTTTACTTTGAAACTAATTGTAGGTATAATAATTCAACTATGATATTAAAAAATTGATTATAGATATGGTTGTTTTTTAACCACATGTAGTTTTATCAAAACAATACAATTTGACATACTTAAAAGTTAAAAATAACAAAATATTGTTTAACTCATGAAATTAATTTGAATTTGATACTTTAATATTTAAAAATAAATCTATATTAATTACTTTAAGTACAAACATTGTACACTAATTACAAAAAATAATTGATTAATAGTAATATTAATAATAATTAATTTTTTTTATAAAAAGAAAAGAGAAAAAGATGATTCGCAAGTACAATTTAAATGATAAAATCAATCGTTGTTTTCTTCTGTACAAAATGTAAAAAAAAAAAATTTTCCGGATACCATGACAATTTTAATTACGATTTTCAAATTTAGCAAGTAAAACTGAGAAAAATGATCGTGTTCAGCAGACTCAACTGTTACGAAGCAAATGAGTGAGTGCTCATTGCTATTGGTGTATTCTTTTAGAATTTAGATCATCCAATAGCAGCAATTGTTCACGGATCCGCTTCGCAACAGTTGAGTCTGCTGAACGCGATCAATATGAATACTACGATTCTTGTGTACTCTCCAAATTACCTAAAATGCATCAACTTCTTTTTCAATTTATTTTCTGGTATTCCAGGCACGGCAGAATAGCTGAAATTTTTTAAATCCTTCGGGAAGGAACAAGTCGAGAGATCGGATATCGATTGCGAGAATCGATATACTTACTCATATCATTTGATACTATTTGATACTTTGATAACCGGCCACAACTATGGATAGATGGGATAGAAAACATACAAATGAAGACGCTATAAGGGAACAAAGTGCCATAGTTTGTATGTCACTTCGAAGAATAACGTTCCAATTGATTTTGTTGTTGTTCTACGTATTGCTAATTACACCGATCTTTATTTCTCTTTTCTTATATGGCTTTTTACCTGTTGCTCATTATACTGATGCGATCGCCTCGGAATTGGATATCCCGGATAGCATCGGTAACATGAAGTAAGTTAACCATAATATAATGAAGACCTAATGTAGGTTGAAATGTGTTTGTATTTTTCTGTGGAATTCTTTATATATGTGTATTATGAAATGCTCTAAGATTTCTCACATTTTATAATTCCTGATTAAATTTACAAATTCTGGAAAAATTAGAATATTTTATAGAATAAGAAATTTTAGAATATATATATTTTTTTAAATTCACATAAAAGAAAAATTCTAAGAAAAAATGTAAATTTTCTCGGTAGTGTGAAATGTTCGAATTTGTATAAAAATTCTGAGAAAAATATTTATCAGTTCTGAAGAGGACTTCCAATGTAAGGAACAAATAGATACTTTATAATTAATAATTTATGAGAGAATAACATATCAATACTTCCAACACTGCAAAATATTAAAGGTAATCTACAGAGAGTTACAATAACATAATTTTAGTTTAATTAATACATTAAGGAGACAGAAAATTATGTTCAAGGTGAGACATAATCTTGTTAAATAATTATTAATGCATTTATTCTTTAGTAGTAATATTTTAAGTTAAAAATATTAATTATATTATTGTTTCCAGAATAAAGAATCATACGCTATACACACCGTTGACAACGAAAGTAATAATTATGGTGATCGATGGGCTAAGGTGGGACTTTGTTGCGGATTCATTCGGAAAAGAAACCATGCCGTTGACGAATGATATCCTGACCAATAACGGATGTTTGCTACAGGCTAATTTACAGGCACCAACAGTGACGATGCCTAGAATAAAAGTAAAGTTGCAATGATTTTGCTAATTTATTCGAAAACGTTTTACGCTAAGGAACTAGTTTGTAAGAGTCTTTATTTATTAGGCTATGATGACTGGTACAGTGCCAAACTTTATAGATATAGTACTGAATTTTGGGAGTAAACCTCTGCAGAATGACAATTTATTGCTTCAAGCAAAGAAACACGGGCACAAATTAATATTTTATGGGGACGAGACTTGGCTCTCTCTATTTCCTCATATATTTAATCGTCACGATGGCACTACTTCGTTTGTTGTTACAGATTTTACAGAGGTAATTAATATATTATACAGAGTGGTCTACTTAAATTGAAAATGTTTTTAATTGGAAAAGTATGAAATACTTTTGTATGTGGAATAATTATAGAGAAATTGTTTTATATTTATAAGATTACATAATTTAAACAAAAGATCGTCATATTTTTTATTGCCTTTAATAACTAGAAAAAAAAGAATGATAAAAATACAATCCTCTTGAAATTGTTCCTTTTTTATCTAACTAAAACAATATTTTGTATTCTCAAAAGTAAAATAAAATATTTAAGGTTTTTAATTTAAGTAGAAATAAGTTATTGTCTTATTTCTTTATAGCAAGATTATTCTTGGGAGACTGACTGTTATTTACAAATTTTAAACAGGTAGATAATAATGTGACTCGACATATAAAAGATGAGATGTATCGTGACGATTGGACTGTAATGATTCTTCATTATCTTGGACTAGATCACATTGGTCACATGGAAGGTCCAGCTAGCATTTTAATTAAACCTAAATTACGAGAAATGGATAGGATTATCGATGAAATAGCCCAAAATGTGGACAATTGGGTTAGTATTTAAAAAATTATCTTAATTTTTTTCTCTTGATCTGAATATATAATACATAAAAATAAAATTTATACGTTTTATTTAGAAGAATTTAATATTAGCATCATTTTATTTATAGCATAATAAAATTAACAAAAAAATTAAAACTAATAAATAAAGTTATAGACTCCTATAGTTATAGATCCATGCGCTTCTCTCTATAGCCTTTTTTTACATTGTATACATAATAAAATTCTGTTGCTTATTTATTTACTCATTTTTAGAAAAGAAATGGAGTACCCACACTTTTCGTCGTTTGCGGCGATCATGGAATGAAGAACTCTGGCGGTCACGGTGGCTCAACGCTGGAAGAAACAACAGTGCCGTTTATTGTAATAGGAGGAACTCATTGTGCATATCAGAAAAACTATGAACCAATAAAGATCGAGCAACTCGATGTTGCAGTGACATTATCGGCCGCCCTTGGACTACCCATTCCTTCTACAAATCTTGGCTCCGTGTTCCTGGACAACATTTACATTCTTGACCACCATAATTGGCTTTTCCTTCTCTATTACAACACGAAGCAGGTGTTTGATCATTTCCGGCGACTCGTACACAACGAATCGGAAATTGAGAGTAAGCATTTAACTCTTATGAATTATTTGTAAAATATTAAGGATATTTATAGATATCCAAATAGCGAGAAGATAAAAAATTCAGATTATATCAAACAAAGATATTTTTCTAAGCTAGATAAGATCATTTACATATTACTTCTTCCTTTGCGTACACATCTTATTGTAACAACTGATATCACCTCGTGGATTGAGCGCGTCTTCAGGTGGCAGTCATAGCCGACGAAGTAAAAACTTCCGCCGCGGACCAGCTTCCCAAGCCAAGTCATGAGCTATCGTGATGAAGATCGTCGATGGTTTTTTCTCTAAATTTCACGATTCATATATCATATTTGGAGCTATATTAATCAAATGTGTCGATCAGACATCGCTTTACTGGCTATCGACGCAGATCGACAACATTTCGCCGTAATGTAAACTTAAGATGATTGTTTTCAATGAACTGTACAGATATTTTCGGTCTTGTGTATGGATTCCTGGTTTTCTCGAGTCCTCCGTGATCGTGTTGAAGCGATTGGATCGACAAAATCCGAGTTTCAATATGGCAAATTAACAAATAATACGCCGAGAACTTAGGAGTTTCCAAGGAAGGAAGAAATGCATTTCTTGGGGTGCCTGAATTAGATTTCAAGAAACTTGAAGCATCTAACCACTTCATGGCTTAACTAGATCTTAGGCAGATCAACTTTGTCTTTAACAACATCAATTAGAAGAGTTTAATTACGACTAGTCCATAATATTTAGCTAGCTTTTTTAGCTCGACCGAAATAGATTTAATTCTTTAATGTACATAAAAGGCTACAATCTAAAAATATTTTTTATATCACAAGTTCTTGCGTGGCATAACAAAGAAAATTAATATTCTTTTATAAGTTAATTTTTTCAATTTTGTATAAAAACAAATAAATATCAAGACAAATCCTTTATGTATAAAAAATAATTTAGCGTACGTAAATTAATTTCTATCATTTACTTTCATTTAGTGTTTTGTTTATTTTTCTTTTATATATTTTTCTTCAGAAAAACTTGGTCTAATAATAAAAGAAAAAGTTTAACTGTGGGTAGCCATGAAAGCACTAACAAATTCCTTCGAGGTTTTAATTATTCAATCTCTTTTTTTTTATTTAAAAAAGATTTAGGAATACTGGAATTTTCTTTTAAGCTTCATCAAAATTCTCGCGTGAGCGATGAAATCTTAAAAAGAAATGTTGATTAAAAATTTGTTCTTTGCAAGCTGACACCGAATAGTGAAAAAGTTTCTTTAAAAGAAATAAGTTTTTTTAAAGAGAAATTAAGAGATGCTCTATGATTACATTTTCTTTTTATTATTGCAACTGGAAATCTCACTGAAACTTTTTAAAGCATTAATGAATTAAAACAAACTACTATTATAAATTTCAAATATCTAGTTCTAATTTGCTAACCAACAATAAAGAGAGGTTAATAAAGAGAGAATATAATTTCAGATCACAATTTTAAGGAATAATTGATTAATTATTAAATATTAATTAATAGGAACGTTTTGATTTAACTTAGTCTTCATCAGTCTTCACACAATAAATAAACAAATAAGACGTATAAAAATTATCAGAGTGAGACCACATTACAAGCTGAATTACATTTAAATTGGAATATTAGTGGTGTGACATTCTTACACACAAGTCCATTAGAATATAAATAAAACATATACTATTCTTCGTTCGGAAGCGAGGAAAAGTAAAATCAAGATGATAAATTTCTTGTAAAAGTAGCATCTTTTGTTATCTCTTGATATCAGAATATTCCGAAATTTCAAATTAGCGTTTACAAGATGAATTCAATAATTTCCAGATGTACTCCAGAAGTATGTGAACGCCGTGGATCTGCATGTTGCTTGGATGAATTCAAACAAGACAGATATTGAAGATATCATCTTCTCTTATAAACAGATTCTTAATGAGATGAAAGGTACTATAATTAACAGCATAGTCAAGTATGACTTTCGTTTGATGACTGTTGCCGTGTTTGCCCTGTGTCAAGTAAGCAAAAAAAAAACAGATAATTTCAAAAGTTCTAAGTATATAAGAAATTGTATTTAAAGAGGATTCAAATCAAAGTGAATCTTCAGTGAAAAAAAGCTCCTATAATCTTAAATTTTTTATATTTAAAATTTATGAAGATTTATAAAAAAATAAGTTTTAGAGATTTTTTATAAGTTTTTTAAAATTCGGAGATTATAAAATGAGAAATTTTTAAATATTTCAGAATTCACATATACAGTACAAGGAATTTTAACATCTAGATTGTTTCACAACACTTAAAAATATTCTCTAATTCATACAAAAATTTAAAAAATTTAATTAAAAAATCGAAAATATACAGAAACTTCACACAAAATTTTGATTATGTGAAGAATATTAGAAAGATTTTTACTAGAAAAGGAATCAAATAGATAGTTTTATTAAATATAATGAAATATGTAACTCTGTAAATTATATTTAGTATCTTTTACTTTAATTTAAGGAATTTTAACATAGTTTTACTCTACATCTTCTTTCAGATAATTATCATCTTGTTTTTTATGAGATTCCCAGTTTGGACTATACATAAAAAAACTGCATCTTTTTTTCTGTGCTCAGGAATTATATATTATTTTCATAGTTTTGAGAACGCAACTTCTTTCTATCCGACGAGTATACTGTTGTTCTTACTAGTCATCGGTGTTATATATAATAACTGTGAACTTTATATAAATAGCAGGTATTGTTTGTGTCAGGTGAGTAGAGAACCAATATTTATTTAATTTCCAGTGTTAGATAAGAAAAAAATATTGATTTAAACACTACAAATATTTGTTGAGCATAAAATAAATAATTACACATTTATTTAATGTATATAAATTGAATAAGAATATTCTAGTAAATATTTTACTATATAAGTACTTCGAATTATTTTTATAATAATAATAATTGCTATTATGATTATTATTTTCTGCTGTATTTTATAATAATAATTTTTGAACTTGTATTTTTTTCGAAGTATGTTCCTATTGTGATTTTTTTAAATTTTCAATTTTTGACGTATAGATGTATACGACGGGACCAATCAGACGTATAGTATTATTACAAATTGGCACGTTATTACATATAGTGAGCCTCGCCAGTAGTAGTTTCATCGAGGAAGAACATCAGACATGGTTTTTTTTATGGGCTACTGCAATTGTAATCATTTTGTATCATCTTTTTATAGAAGATCTTGTATTTCTAGTAAATAAGTGAGTAGAATTTTTTTCCCTGATATATAATGGTAGATCAAATTTGACATTGACATATGATTTGTTCACGAAAAGATCGGTATATTATTTCTATAAATTCTTCAGAGATTGTATTAGAAATTTTACCATATATTTTACATGTGAAACAAATAGAAATTAATACATTAAGTACTTCTTCAAATATACGTCTATTTCGAAATATCACATTGCGCTTTTATTATCTATTCATTTGAGATAAATATGAAAAATGTAATCAATTATATAACTTATCAATTTATTATATAAATTTATAAAAAAAAAGGAATGATATTCATGTCAGATTTGAATTATCTGTAGCGAGGCATCGAAATATAAATATTTCGCTATTTGATGCGAACAGGTATGTCCAAATTTTATTTGCAGCCGTAAGGATCTACTTTTCTGTACGGTGCCACTGCTTTTTTTCGGACACATATTTCTGCGAAGGCTAAACAGTACAGACAACAGGCGGACCGATCAGCTCGACATATTTGAGTGGTTGAATAAAGATAAAATCTGGATGACAATTGTACTTTTAATTGGTATAATATCTAAATGCTAATAAAAGTTTTAAGTACAGATAGACTTTTCTAATTATAAGTGACTGGGGAAATTAGTTGTTTTTTTTTATAAGGACAGACATTTTTTATAAAATTTGAGTCAGTAGTTTGTGATTATTTTCAGCACTCATTTTGTTAATTTTGGTTACTTTGGAAGAAGATAAATATAAGAAACAATCGTTCTTTCTGAATATACCTATTGTGATATGTATATATCTGCGCCACATGTGTAACGGTACCGTCATAAAAATTCCATTTTATTCCTCAAGGTAAATCGTATTATATTTACATATTATATTTACATTATACGTAAATATCAATTTATTAATCGTTTATTAAAGACTGTATGAATGAATTACATATTCAAGAAGCAAGTTTTTGTGTTTGTGTAGTGGAATATATGAAGTACAAATATTTTGGGGAATAATAATGCTGTCTCTGATAAACTATGGATACCGAGTGATAGTAAGACTTAAGTATAGTAGACAGTATTTCATACGTACGATGTTCTTACTTATTATAAATACATGGGTGATGATCTCAGCGATGTTGCACAAACCGCACAACGTGATACTGTTACCGGTACAGCTCATGACAGGCTGCTTAATTGACTGGATATTGAGAGAAATATCCTGTTCGCTTGATCTTCATGTTTACGTATATTATTGGCTGGGCAATGTATTTTATTTCTATCAGGTAAATATTTGAAATTATTATTAATGCGTATGAATAGAAGAGAAATCTCGAATAGAATATCTGTAATCAAATCTTTTAAATAATTCTTAGTGAAACTTGTATCTGCGCGGGTACGTAGGCGTATATGTGAAAGTATTGCTTTTTTATAATATTATATTATTTAAATTTATATCGGAATTGTTTTTCTATTATTTAAATTTCTATGAAGTTTCGTTGGAGATGCAAACATTCTGAAGTTAATATACTTCAACAAATACTAGAAATTTTTTTTAATATACTTCATATTTAAGTCATATGTTTATAGTATAAAAAAAGTAAACGCTTCGAATTTCAAATCCTAAATATTTTTCGAGAAACAATACAAAATCTTTTTTATTATAACTAGTTCAATAATTCATTGAGATTGTATAAGGATTAAGCTGATCACTTATTTCATTGTACATTAATATTTTAGGGAAATTCCAATAGCCTAGCGAATATAAATATCGCGGCAGGATATGTCGGTCTACGATCCTACATGCCTTTTGTTACTGGTATGTATTTAATCATCAATACTTATTCCGCGCCTGTTCTGGCTTACTTCCAGTTCATTTACTATATACAGTTAAAGCTACCGTTTTGGTAAGTACTCAACGAATTCTACAATTATCGTATTATGATTAAATTAGTATGCTCCTTACTAACGAGAAAATCTATTTATAGCTGCGGCATATTGAATATCGTACGTGCAAATAAGATTTACCTCTCATGGAGGCTGTTGACGACAACTGCTTATATGATCATTGTCATCATCCTTCGTGACCATTTGTTTGTGTGGTCGGTGTTCTCACCAAAATTGTTGTATGAGGCAACATATTCCGTGATAATGTGTTGCAACATACTATTAACGTCGATTGTGATTATGGTGCAATTTATACCATTCAAAAGTATATAGCCTAAAATTGTGACAAAAGACGTCTTTCATCTTTTAGACGCAAAAAATATCTTATGGCCTGATTTCAGACACTTTGTTTTGGGACGATTCTTGATTAGACATTGTACAATGATTATAACTATGCGATGTCGTAGAAACCGATGCAAAAAACGAACATGCGTTTGTGTGTACAAATAAATTAAATTTTAATTTTAACATTTCGGAAAATTTGATTTAATCTAAAATGTTTGTGATAAGGCTCAATATGTATTAAACAATTAATATAAAGAGATATGGGCAATGAGCCAATAATTTCGTTAAAATCTTTAAATCTTTGATTTAATCTAATTTTTAGTTTAATTAATAATTAAGTTTGTAGTTAATAGCGTTTATATATTCCAATGATAAAGACTGATAGATAGTTATTCCAGTGGAAAAAAATTGATCCACTTGTAAACTTCGTATAGCATTAATTGTATTGAGTACAACTAATCAGTATGTCAATACTCATAAAATGAATTTATACAGAAGTATTGCTTCCTGAACATTTTATTCCAGTCTTAAAAAAACATCTCTTTTATTGCGTAAACTAAACCTAGAATGTATTAATAGCATAGAAACGGTACACCATAGTATAATGGAAGTTTATTAATGAAATTTGCTAATATGGAATATCATTTAACAAAGAATATAATCAAATCTTCAACTTGTGTGTTTGTATAACACAAAGAATCAGACTCATTTTATTCCTTTTATACCTACTATAATCACCATATAATACAAGATAAAAAGTGGATGTTTAATGTTTAAACAAGATGAAGAGCCTATCTAAAAATTATATAACTTATGTATGCTACATTAAGAAAACATTTTTTTCGAAAATATAAAAAAAGAATTGTATTGTTTTTACTAAATGTGTGTACATTTATTGGATTTAGCAGCATCTATATCTAATAATTTCCCTTTACAGTTTCTACTCATACTTTACACAACGAATAAAAATTGTGTGAATTTAGAGTAAAGAAAACTAGTAACAAATAAAAGATGTATGTGCGTGCATGTTTGTATAGTATCAATAGTCAAAATTAATTAGTGCAAAGGAAGAAATTAAGTTTGCGAGAACTCGATTAATTGTGGAAGCTTGGCTGTTCTGAAAATCATGATTAGGATTACATTCCACTTTATCGGTTGGAAATCAAGAAACCTATGCAATCTTCCCTCTCTCTCAAATATGATCGAATACTATCACACAACCAGAGCGTTGTCTCGTACCAGCGAGACTATCACTATTACAACTCGAATTTAGTTCGAAGTGGCTATCTAATAATCAGTTCGCAGAATTACATTTAATTCGCTAAAGTCCTCACTAATCTGCGATCATGGCAAATAAATAACTACCGTTGCGTCCAAATGCTAAAAACGCCCAATTTGTTAACTGTGCGATTCTACAAGCTCGGGCGAAATCGAACGTCAACGAGGATATCAAAATTATCAGTAGGAACATATGTATAAGTACTTTACATAATACTAATTGTAAAATCGTCAAATGCAAGATGTCTCAGACTTCTCAGGCACGCTCGCATTACTATGGATACTAGAAAAACGAAATAATCTTCCTATAATTTTTAAACTATTAAAATAATTTTTTTTTAATGTAACTTAAAGCGATACCTATGTAGGACATCTCGAATGATAGAATCAGGAGCGAGAGAAATAATGTGCTCCAATGATTTACGGCTTCCTGTAAGTAATTTATCCTCAAAAAAGAACCGCTTTATCGAAACAGTTTGATAAAACGAGATAGAAAACTCGTTCATGGCGCTCGTTTAAATTCGCAATCGATAATCGATCGTCGCAAAATATAAATACGCACATTGCTATAGAAAAATATGCTTTTTTCGACTCTAATTGAATTTGGCAATATTTAATACAGCGTTGTAAGTGCATGAAGCTCTTAAAGATCCTCAAGCCCTTCGGACTTCTCGAGTTTGCAGCAACTGAACCACAATATCAGTACTTTCATAATACACGCTAATAATATATACACTTAACGATATACCCGTATATCTTTTAAAACGCATTTGGTATTTCGAAGACGTCAAATTGATGCTGCAAATTGAATTAAAATGGCGAATTCATTCCCAGCTTTGTGCCAAATTCCAAACGTGCCCTTTTTTGATATCTAACGTTCACTCTAAAAAAGAAAGGAATATGAATATTAATTTCGGAGAAATTGTAGTGAATGCGTTAATGACGGTATGTAGAAGGAACTAGACTTACTTGATTTCTTGCCACTTGATTAACTCGTTAATTGCAAACGTCAACGGAACAGAGAATAAAAAGAATAATGGCACGTGTAATGGGAAGTTTTCAATTTTCTTACCCTCTTCTCTCCAAAACTTGCGGAACGCTATACCAGAGAACATCGCTTGCACGCACAATCTATAATAATAACATTAATAACGATAGATGTATTTTAGAATTTAATATATAATCTAATGATTTTTTAAAAAGACAAATTTGTTTAAGTAAGCTGTTATTCAATTAGAGCTTTCACTTACACAATAAATACACCAAGAAACCAGGTGCAATTACTCATAGGATTTTTCTTCCATATTGAGTATTCCCTGTGCACGAAGCTAACAGATATCATAACTGTGAAAAAAAAGATAGATATTAATAAAATTCTTAAGTATTGTTCACATATGTCAATAAATTGATATAAAAGATATGCCATTCCGATTAAATCTTGATTTAAAAATATTAAACTATAACCTTTTTAAGGAGAAAAAATTAGAAAAAAATAAAATAAAAGTGAACTTGACGAAAAAAAAAGACTATTTCAATTAAGAGAAATTAAAAAATTAAAATTAAGTAATTTTCTACAAAAAATAAAAGGATTTGACAAACTAGATTAAACTTTTTACACCAATATATACCAGTATATTAACAATAAGACAAAGATATCGTTGGTGCATAATTACCGAAGTGCAGGACTATAAGCGTGAGAGCGAAATGCTGTACGACCAGAATGACAATCGGCTTGCTACCCCAGCCGCCCCAAATCTGGTCTCGAGGGTCCGGATATATGTACAGGCACTTGGAGTTCTGTGGTACGTAGACGGGGCAAAGCGTCAGGAACGAAATGCATTGCGAGAGGATCACCGTGATCACCGTCGGCAAGAACTTGCTGCCGTAACACCATAGCACGAATAGCGTGACCTATAATGCATTTTTCAGTGTTGCCTCTTTATTCTCGAAGGTTGATTTTATATTGACAAATAAAAATAGTTTACAAGATTTTGTACGACAGTATAATCCAGCAGATTTAAATTCAAACCGGTCTTTCTTACCTCTCCATTGACCACGCATTGATTCTTCCCGGTCGCGCGTTGCATTATTGTCGAATCTATCGGCGTGGCGATCATAGATGTCGACAATACGGGAATTATCAAGCAGCACAGCCAGAGTATTTGATCAATGGAGAACAACGGCGGCAGCAGTAGAAACGCCGACAGCATTTGCACAAACGAGAGCGTAATTACACAGCACAGCCAAAATTGTATGCAATTCCATAGATTCTTCATGTAATGACGAGCCTGTGTGAGTACAAGGAAAAGTTTATTATCGTTTATGACTTTCACGTTAATTACCTTCTCGTTTAATTTCTTGAAAAGTACATCATACCTCCATAATGAGATGAAAAATTGCCACAGGATCCTCTCGTTTCACACTCAGTGAACACGCGACAGAGTTTAGCGCTCTACTTAGATCAACGGGAGAAATTCCTTGGCTCTCTGTGGTAGGCACCAACACCGGCACCTTCTGACACACCTGGGGGTACAAGGGTTCCACCGCCACTCTACGATCGATTTACAAGCTTTTAGAAAACTTTGACATAAGGAGATCGTTGAATCGATGAAATTAGATTCTTTCTGTATGGATATTTTTATAGAAATTTAATTCCGGTCATTATCGATCATGTAACTTTTTTCTAGAGCAAAAACGTAAAAAGTAAAAATATACACATAGTGTTTTCGACCGTAGCAGATTAAAACCTAGATAGAATTAATGATGTTGCATGCTCTACTGTTGGTAGAGTATGTCAGCCAATAGCAAGTAATGTCATTAATGTAAGTAATGTCCAACCCAAGTCAGTTAAAACCTGCTATGGGCGAAAAAGCTAACACATTCATACAAAAAATGCTCACTTTTCACATTTCCCTAAGGAAAAAGTTACGTGATTGATCCTTTGTTCAAAATTCTTTAGGAATTTTGCCTGAAAATCTGAATGAAATTCAAAGTTGAAAAAAAGAAAAAATATTTCGCTGACTTTTCCCGATCACTTTTTGAAAACAATTTTACATTAAAAGCATTGTTCTGCGCATTACTTATTGAGATCTAATCTCATTAAAACGATAATTTAATTTTATCTTAGGTTAATAAATTCCTTGATAAAAATTTCCCTGACTTTTCCCGGTTTTCTCTGATTTTCCTGACCGCTAACAACTATGAAAACGCCTGAATCTTTGTAATTGAATTGGTGAGGCCATGATTATTATAAAATTACCCTGCGTCAGCCTGCATGAAAATGGGCATATTCTCAGCGTTGGCAGAGGAGCCAAGCACACACACTACCTCGCCGTAATCCTGCATTATATGCAACATCTCACGAGTCACTGTGGTGTTGCAGTCGGTGAACAGGGACACGAGTAAAGGAACGTTATCTATCAGCTCGATATGCGGACGTATCTTGTCTATGCCCCTCGGTAGTTTAGCCTGTTACGCAGAATAAATAAAGGAGGATGTTTCACCCAAAATAAAAATGTTCCAAAATTATAAATTATATATCAAATAATAGTTTTTGTTAATTAATTTTTGAAATATCTTACTAAACAACTTTCCTAATATTTCCTCTTGATAAACAACACAACACTCTGCTTAAGTAATCCTTTAATGTAATATATAATCCGAATTTCTCAGATTCGTGTAAAGGAGGCACGGCAGTGTCGCGCGCTTGACTTAGCGCCGAGACACTACCGTGTCTCCAGATTTATATATTTTGGAACTTTCACTGTGGCTGAAAATAGCCAAAATTTAACATCCTTGTGTTGCATTTTGTATCATAAACGTTTATTAGGTTTATTATTATTTATCCTGAAGAAAATTATATATCTTACTCTGTTCGATAGATCGAAGTTGACCGGCGCACTTTGTTCAGTGCTGTCGGTGAGGCAGCTCAAAGACCTCCAAGCTTCCTGGCCTGATCCCAAATCGACGCTTTGCACCAAAACGCTGTCCTCGCTCCTCACCGTGTCCTGCTCCCTGCTCGATAGTTTGTTATCTCTGTAGCATCATTAAATCTTAAATAGCATCGCGTATATTTAGAAATTTTTTATTCTTTTAGATATTACAGCAACCTGTGGCTCATCGTGCTCTTGACCTGCGACGTTCCTGTGTTGTTCCACTCGGTTGTTTCGTCATCGAATTTCACTGTCGAGAAGTCCGTGTTGATAGCACTTGGCGCTGACATGCTCATCGCTCGGCTGTTGTTCAGATTGGTGCTAAAATGAGAATTATTCTTGCTTAATGAACACTCTCTAATCGCTTGACATTTCGCTAGTCATAACGGTAGATAGTAAGAAGCACATTAATGCTAAAAAGCCAAGAGAATACATTAGTTCATTCTTTCGAACACGATAAAGCTTCCATAACAAATAAATGAAAATGCTCTCGTCATGCTGCATATATTTTGCTATCAATTAACCATAGAATGCATGAGATTTTTAATATTTGTGTCTTCTCATGATATTTCGATTAATTCTTCATTTTTTCAGATTTACTTCCTATCTGAATCATTTATAAACTTCAATTAGACTTCCATTAGATCAGATCTCATGCATTCCGTAATTACTATGTTGCCGTTTCCATTTTTTCTTTCTCTGAAGCAAAGTAGAAATCTGATTCATATTGTACAGCGTATATAGTAAAGCTATTTCTGCATGTAATCGGTGTAACATACCGAGGTAAGACACGATTAAGCAAGTGGCTGGCCTCGTCCATGCAGGAGTAATTAGGCTGATGAGATTGGGCCGTGGGTGAGGGAGTGGGTGAGGACATGGCTGCTGCCTGGCTCACCCACCAACCCACTGGACTCTCGGACCTGATATTGTCATGTGTGTGTTAATTACAATACATATAATCGTGTAATCTTTGCGCGAGTAATCGTGTATTCGCATAATCAAATTCTTAATGGGCGTCAACTTGCAATTGCAATAAATTGCACCACATTAGTTGAAGAACATATCATTGAAAAAATTATTGTAAAGCATTGTAGAGATATAAAATAAAAATAAAATTATTATTAGTGTGCGACTCGATGTCCTGAATAAAAAAAGAGATATTAGTTATACATGTTAGGTATTAAAACACTGCAGCCAAAATGATCGCAACATCTTCAAAATTAGTGATATTGCAGGATGTCTCGGAGAAATGTTTGAGATTCAATCTTAAATTTAATTTATTCCTCAATTTTCGGAATTTGTAAAGATCGTTTGATCTCTCTATTTATGTATACTTTTTTAAATATGTTAATTACTTTTGTTGGTATCTTTGCATATAACGACTGTCTAAACGTTTTATTTTTAAATAGATTTTTATACGGTATAAGAAATAAACGTTTAAGTTAATCTGTATTCGAATCGAGTGTGTGTATAAACTAGATTTTGTAATATTCTTTCTCGAGATATCTTGCAACGATGAACATGCAGATCAATATCAACAATTACAAAAGTAAAAAAAGACGTATAGACAAACATATACGACGGGGGCATATGCGGATATCTCTTCAGCCATTGCTGTCTCCTGCAATACATGGATATATTTTACATTTGAACCTCATGGTAACTCACTCTAACAAGAATAAGAGATTTATTCTGTCGTTATTTGCATGCAGTTTTCCCACGTGCGTGTTTTTTCTCTGATCCTACAATTATCTCTTTCAATCGGCCTTTCTTAAATATACCTTCTTTTATTTAAAAAATCTTATCTTTCTTCTCTCTCGTAAAAAGAAATATATTATCGAAAAATTAAAAGATAGTACAAAATCATTAGAGAATGTTCTCTCTAAATTCTTTATAGCAAATTCTCTCTTTAAAGAATAAAAATTGAACCAGTTAAAAAAAAAAAGTGACTCAATTTTTAATCTTTAAGAGTGAGATTTTAATCTTTAGGAGTGAGATTTCACTCTTCAAAGTGAGAGTCACTTTAAAAGTTTTAGAAAGTCGGATCAGAGACACTGACAGTAAGAAAAGTCGCGGATATGCCCCATAAGAAATTAAAGAGACATTGAGAGAAAAACGGCGATGTCATCGCGTTTCAATGATAAACGATACCTGGCCCCTTCGCTGAGTAACGAGATGTGACAATTCCAGCCACTCTCCAAGCCCATTTTCTCTGAGAAAACACGCGAGCGCAGTTCGTTCTCCTTGCTGAAATGCACAAATCTTATGCATGCCCTATCCAATTGCTCAATCAATTGTACCTGTAGTCATAATATACATATTAATTTATTATATTAACAGTATATAAATTAACTATCCACCATAATAATATCGCACCATATCGGTTTGTGCCTGATATTGCATAGTAACCATTCCGATGAAGACTTGATTGCATTGCACCTCGAAGCAGCCTTCAATATCGTTCACATCGTCATCCTTATTTTCGTTACACAGTAAGGAATCTGAAAAGAAAGCAAAAATTAAATTAAAGATAGCAAATAAAATTAAATTAATCAAAAACATCCGTCAAATTATAATGACTATGTTTAACCTGTTGAATGAAACTGCCCTAGTATTCCTCGTACTCTGGGATCGAGAACGTTTCTGAAGTCCCACGGTAAAGGAGTTGGACTCCTATGGGGTGTGTACAAGTGTTTGCTATCCGCTGGTAGCTCCAGATATATCTCGGACATGTTGTTGCTAATAGCGCGCGTCAGCGGTCGATAGGCGAATGCGGTACAATACGAGGTCAAGCTCGTTCTCTGGTAGAAGTCTTGTACCTTTTTCCTGCAAAAGAAGAATTATCAAGATCAGTAACAATTAAATTTTACACACCAAATATTTTAAAAACATCTTACATTAAAATAATTCAGAGATTTAATATATCTTAAAACGAAGTAAAAAAAATTACAAAAATAAGAGAATACATTAATTTTTATAATTAATATTTATAACATTTATGATTTAAATTCATTGATTAATACTTAGTGAATTTTTTTAATATTTTTATTTTTGTAATTTCCACTTTTAAGATACACAATAGTTTTCTATTTAAGAGATTGATGGAACAAAAATCCAACCTATCTGATGCGGAAAGAGGGCAGAGATCGTGACCATCCCAGTACTCGATGCACGAGTCCAGAATTATGTCGGCCGTTCCTTGTGTCAATAATTGTAGACCACCACCGCTGCGCTCTTTTACGACCACGGCGACCATGTGAGGAAACGGGAACTTCAGCTTTGTCGCAATGCTCAGTGAACGCGCGAACTTTATGTCCCGTCTGACCATCTCCGGTTGCTGTTAAAAAACCGTTTTAGTTTACCTTTCTAATCGATGGTTTTGTGTAAGCTTTTTGTAATAAAAAAATTATTTGTCTCCAAATAATATTTTTTTAGAATGGTGAATCTTCTAATTGTAAGAAATAGTTTAACAACACAGCTGATTATAGGAAATTATTCAAACTTCAGTTTAACAGTAATTGCTAAAACATGCGATCAATTTCCGAAGTTTTGGCAAAAAATAATCTTATTATGAATTAACTCTTCCAACTGCAAATATTTTTATTTTCTCCATTTACAAATCTAGCTCTGTTTTGCTCAATCTAAGCTTTTTTCTGTTCTAAACTTTAAAAAAAAAATATGAAAAAATTCAAAATTATTCTTTAAAAAATATCTTTATTACATTATATACAAATAATTTTTTAATTCAAATTGAAACTTGAACAAAAATGAGAAAAAAATTTGATAGTAAACTTTCACTTGTGAAAAAAAGGACTCAGATTGCAAATAAAGAGTTAATTGATTCTAAAAAAACATTTTCCCAAATTTTTACATGTGATAAATTATCAATACTTACTACATGTCTAAATGTACATAGTTGCTGCTCCAGTTGGAAGATTTTCTGCGCTTGATCCTGAAAACCGATCTGCTTCGCCAATTCGCACAGACATCTGCTAAATACATTTGATTTCCAATAACAAATCTTGCAGAGAACTCGCAATTAATCCTATAAGAAAAAATAAAAAATCAAGGACAACGTACCGTCTGTTCGTCACCGGAACCAAGTTCTCATTGTAGAGAGCCTCGCAAGTAACATGGCAACAAAATTGTGTGTAGTGCTCCTGCGTATCCATGTTGCACGTGTTGAGAAGGATCGCCAGACCGAGCGGCTTCAGCGAATTCAGATGTTGCCGCCACGAGTGGTCATCGAACTGCAGTCGGAACGGCAGGGCGTGATCGTGGGTGAGATCCAGGACCTCGGCGGTGGAGTGCGACATATCTGCGAAGTATCGGACGTCGTTACGTTGGGCACTCAGCTTTCGTTGTCTCCCATCCTTCCTTACCATGCTGTACGTAAGACGTTCTGTTGGAGTTCACCTTGGTCTCCTCAGACTCCTGGTTCTTGTCAGTCGTCTTGTCCACGCTGCCGGTACTGCAAAATAAACGGGACTGTAATCGCGTCGATACGATTCCACCGAATGATTTCACAAATTTAAGTTACGTTAAATTCCTTCATCTCAGGGGGCAAATTCACAAATTCTTGGATTTTTAGATACTCGGATTCTTATATCCCCAACTGGGTCCGCGACTATAAGATGACTACCTCGAGCTCGGCGACAAAATATTGGCGTTACGTAGGAAAAATACTTTCTCCGCTGTAGGATTAGGCCATGAGAGAAGTCCCTTCTTATCTACGCAGCACAACGCCTACAAAAATATGTAATATATAGTGTTATATAATGTTAGTGTTATATAATTGATGTTATAGTGTTATATAATTGATAATTATTATTACTTGATTATTTAATTTAATCAATTTGTGCTACGATACTCACGGTTACAGAGCCCAGAACGTGAAGAATGCTCGCCGATCGTGACATCATGTGCTCGTTGCCAAAAAGAATATCGAAGAAATATTCTTTAAGTTCCAGCCAGTTGTACACTATGTCCGGATGACTGGGACCATTAATATCCGCGTCTTCAAAAGGATCTACAAACTAAATTCATAAAAATCATAAATCAGTTATTGTAGAACAAATTATAAAATACACACATTTTGTAATTAATCATAATTTTTAATTCATAAAAATTACAAAAACCTACATGAATGTATATTATATTACATACATTCCTTATTATTTTTTATAACCATGTTTTAAAAACTATAGATATAAAATATATTATAACATTTGGACTAAAGTAATGTACTTCTGTATGTGCGAGATGTATAAATGTATAAAATTTTGATTACAATTCCATAAATATATACAAAATATTAATTTCTTCAAATAGAGCTATAATTATATTAATATCTTTTAATTTGTAAATAATTAATTTCTAAATCAATACTAACCTGGAGCTTTTTTGCAGACAGATATAGCTTGAACAGCGTTTTGAAGCGAGCCATGCCGAAGGAATTGAGGAATATCCAGCAGGCGGGAAACACCAACGGTAGCAACGGAAGACTCACAGCAATAGGTTGTAACAGAAACATCTCGCTCCAGTGGCCGGTGCCAAAGTAGTCTGTCAAATATAGATAACGGAGCAAATTGACCACGAGGATAACGATCACGAGTATCGGATAGGTCAAGTGCTCAATGCAGCAGATCATCAGTAAATGACGCTTGCGATTGTAATAAGTGACCGGTCGATCGAGAGCTTGATCAAGTGCCATTCGCAGATTCACCAAGTATGGTGTTTCCTGGAGTTTGTAAATTTTACTTTTGAGAGGTATGCGGGACTGCGGCGTGGAGAAGATTTCGTTTGCACTGTGTACCGGCGCACTGTAAGTCTCCCTTGCGTGTAAAACAGGCGCTTCTGAATCCTGAAAGTTTAATAAGCTAAAAGAAACTTGCTTCTGTGAATAGTTTGATTAACTATTTCAGTAAAATCTCTGTATATTCGATATCTTGAAAGCTGAACATCTGTGAGATTTATGTTGGAAAGAATTCAAGTCACGTACATCATACGGCACACAATATCCAGGTGCTTGCTGGCCTGGCTTCATCACGATGATGTCACTGGCCACTAATAAGGCCCACGGCAAGTTGACTACTTCACCGTCACGATATGTCCACTGCAAGGTCAAACAAGGGGATTGCGGACTGCACAAATGTGGATAGTTCTCCGATCTCCATTGACACGTGGAACGCGCAACTGCAATTTTGAAACATAACATTGCAAGATTTAATATTAGTAATGATTTTATTGAAATAAAAATAACAAAACAATAAAAAAAATATGTTAAAAATAAGAAAGAAAAAATATCTCAAAAGGTGAGGCTGTTCAAGTTTACATATAAAATCGAAATAACTATTAAATTGTTAGCTAAGAAATTTAAAGAGAGACGAGAGATAATTTGCAAAACAAAAAGTAGAACAAAATTAAAGTTATAGCAGTTCTAGGTGATATAAGAGACAAATATTGAAAATAGTAATTTATATAAGATTTATATAGAAACTAAATATTGTGTAAAAAATAATTGTATAGGAATATATTAATTCATAAATAACAAACTCCTGTATAATAATTATATAGGATTTACATAGGAACTGCAATATTAAACACATGCTCCTTTTTTCCTGTTGAATTGTGATTTAGTGAATTACTAGAAATTTCTCATTCTGTATAGTGTAATTATAGAAATTTACTAAATCACAAGCAATCCAACAAGAAATCTCGCATCCTGTGTTTAGATTTTATATACTTATATTTAGACTATTCTACAAAATGTATAATTTCACTTTTGATACAAAATAAATATTACAGAGACAGCGATCTTTATTTAAACACATACCATTGAGTTCATCTAGAAGAATTTTTACTCTATGAGGAATTTCTTCATGTCGTAATTTATTATCCGATACCACTAAGATAAAATTCAATACTACTAAACAACAGACTATCAGTCCTTCGTATGGCAGTGTTGAATACCTGCAACAATACTTTACTTATTTATGAAGCCCTTATTGACCCAAAAATAAAAAAATAGAATAAATGTACATTCCCACTCACCATGTTTCATTAAGCGTAAAAAACGCAATGATGAGAATAACAGCATTGATCAACAGCGCGATTGCAGAGGTCCAGCAGAGCGTTGTATATTGGCTGCGATGATGCAAAGTGTCCTTAAGCCAAGCTCTATATTTTCTAAATATAAACAAACTGTCAGGATGTAAGTACATAAGTGGTTTAATAAGTCTGATAAATCTTTATGAAAGATTGTGGCACTATCTCACAAAGATTTATTAGATTTATCAAACCATCCATGTATAATGTCATAAAAATTCATATATTTGCTCCAAATAATCACAATTGCTGTATAAGACACTACTTGTTTTTTCTGTGATCCTCTTCATACTCCTGTAGGACACGTCTAACATCACGATGCAGAGTATCTAAGGCTACTGTAGTGGTCAAGCCTAAAGTTTCCTTATGTTTAGCCTTAGTATTCTCATTTGTCTTCGTGTCCTTGCTAATTAAGCGTTCGTCCTCCATTTTCTACAAAAAACAATAAAATCAAGAAATCAGTCTATAAACTCAATTAATAAAACTAAGTAAAATGTCAATTAAATAAATAAAATGTTAACATATTCAATCTTATTTCAAGAGTAATACAATAATTCAATAGCTTAAAATTGTTGACTGAGGAGCAACTTATTGGCGAAACATTGGTCAATTATTGAAAATATATTGGGCCAATATTGTGCCAATAAATTGTGTTACAAAAGTAGTCTGTCTAAATATACTATAATATTATATTGTTTGAGTCAATATGATTAATAAGTTCCAAAAAATAAAATTGTTACAGAAAATCCTTTATTAACAGACGAAGTCATTAAACATCACAAAAGAAGTTTTTAAATAAAATATTAATAAAAAAAAATAGATTACATTTTGAGTCAAATAGACATCAAACCCAGTTAGCCCAGCAGGGTTAACTAATGAAACACATATTAATAACATTTTTCTGATGAGACAAATAAATTTTAAATTAGTAATATATACGATTGCTATTATTAATATCATCAAAAATCATAAGCAAAAGATGCAGTCTATGCAAGAGAAAAAAACCAATGAGGGTTACAATTTCACGGACTCGCTCTCGTCAGGAAAGAATCGCTGCTCTTTTCTATTCCTTCTCTGCCTTGCGCTCGACACTCCAGATAACGTCTCGGAATTGATTGTGGTTTATCTCAGCGTAACGATGATCGCATACTTAATTATCAGAAAATTCGTTCGAAACTGCGACGAACAGCACTCAAAACATATAACTTGCATCGCTCGTGATTCTAGTCAGAGAGAGAGAAGAGAGAGAGAAAGAGAGCAAGTGAGAGAAAAAGAGAGAGAGAGAGAGAGAGAGAGAAGACAATTCGAACCTGAACGTAATGGGTGTATAGAAGTGTTCCAATTATTATTTCATTGCTTTTTTTTTAATAGAGAAAAAAAATGTAATAGAAATTTATTAATATAATTAAAAAAATTTTTTTACAATGTGATTTACAGATAGCATTATTATCGGCTGTTGATAATGCAGAATTCTATATTTTCATACTTTCAGCTTTTTATAAAATCAAAGTCCAGAATACTCTAAAAAATTTAAAGAGCATTAATTAACTATTAATCATATTTGGGCTGCGTTCGGAAATATCACCCAGGTTTCCCCGAGTATCATCTTATCCTTGTTGTTCATTCAATGTTAAAGAAGGGTAACACGATACTCAGGGGTACTCGAGTGATATTTCCGAACGCAGCCTTGATTAGATTGTGCATTCTAAAATTTTTAATGAAATCTTATAAAAGCTGGAAAAGAAATTTTTTCAGAAATTATTGAATAAAAAATTTTAAATGTTTTGTAGATATAAAGAATTTTACGAAGACTTTTTTTAGTATTTTTTTCAAAAAGTGTTCTAATAATTTATATAAAAATTCTGAAAAAAATTTTCACTAGATTAAAATAAGATAGTTAATGTAAAATTTTATATTTTTTTTTATAAGATTATTATTTAAAAAATTATAATATATATCAAATTATTTTCAAAACAAAAAATATTTATGTTCATGTTTTAATATATATTTATATAAATGTTATAATATAATATGTACATAATAGAAATGTGTGTGTGTATAGATGTACATACATACGTGGGTGGTTTGATAAGTCTGGTAAATCTTTATGAGATATTGCCACAATTCTGGCTGAAATTTCGCACAGAAGAGTTTGAAGAATGATATTTTCCAGATATCACATCATCAAATGGATTGTGGCAATATCTCGTAAAGATTTACCAGACTTATCGAACTACTCACATATATGAGTGTAAAAAAAATATTACAATATGTCGAAGATGTTTCTTTTCTTTATTCATCGATGAAAGAATCCCATAAACATCAGCAAATACTGATATAACAGTACGATGTCAACGTAAAGCTGCGTAGTTGCAAAGATGACTTCGTCGGGATTCAATTCTATTCTGCGTCCACCCATGATGGTCTGCACATCGAAGTATAAATACTGAAAATACATAAAACAATTTTAATATTAAATTTTTTCTATCTTTTTTTTATTTTATTAATTAATTTTAATTTATTACAAAAAATTAATTATCAATGATCTTTCCAATAATTTTCGCAATGAACGTGCAGAAAATGCAAAAAGTACAATAATTCTTCTTAGTAAAATACTTATATCTACTTTAGGTTTTCCTATTTTGGTCTATTTCATAAATGTTATATAAATTGCAGTAAGTAGCATTAAATTAATATTTAAAAAATTCAAAGAACTAAATAGATAAAAATTTTCCGCTGAATTAAAATTAACATTGCAATTCTCCTAGATGTAAAAATTCAAGAAACTTTAAAGTTTAAAGAATTAAGATATTAAAATGGACGTTGCTGAATAGATTTTTTCATGAGAATCCAAAATACACTGACCATGCACAGTAGGAGCGTTCCAATGATAGCGATTACCAGGCGTAAAACCATTATATGAGTAAACAGCAGGATTATTAGCACCGTAAAAATAGATACGATCGAAACTAACCCAATCACCATCAACAAGCCCGGTCTCATTGTCAAGTCAAACTACAATTTCATTATAAAACGAGTATTCATTTGTATATTCTTTCTCTGTCTCTTTGTCTAATAGATTTAAAATAAAGCAAATAAATTAAAGTAAAAAATAATGAAGTTGCACATTTGCAACAGAAATAAATTTCTGAGAAATATTAAAACAAATTTAAAAGAAGTAATGTAACCTTTTAGCAATACATATTGCCATAAATCAGAAATAAAAGAATTTAAAAATATAATTAAAAGATATATATACATATTTATATACAAGATATAAAATATTTATAAAAGAAATAAATATGGATAAAAAAATAATTAATATCATATTTTAATGCATGCATACGAGTGTAACGTATATTAAGTCAAAAAAATTGGGACATAAAATTGCAAGGAAAATATAGAATAAAAGTATAGGACAGGGCTACCGTGGAGAATGTTGCTATAAGAGCTATGATCATCGTAACAATGGCGGTCATGCCCATAACGATGAGAATCACCTCGATGGTATAAAACACGGAGACGAAGGCGGCCAAATATGACATTCCCAATGTCTGTAATTTATAAAAAATTTAACTAAATTAATTCTAATTTAAAGGGACCACTCCATTGTGTAAGAGAAGTAAACATGGAGAAAATCGTACCAGCAGAATTAGGCAGATGTAATTGAATGGAGGCGTTCGTCTAGCGTGCACTGAGCAGGATACAGTACAATAAGCGACGATGAAGATCACCCTAAAATGCCAATAAATGTTTCAATTAGATTGAAATTTACAAAATAAAAAGTACGATCAATTAATGAATACATTCGGTTTCTTAAAACCTTAGAGTTCTTTTAAATAAAAAGAAATGAATATGGACTGATATTACAAATTAATATTATAATACTATTAATATAAAATATATATTAATATTATATATATACGTATATATATAATAAAATTACATAATGTAACATGTTAACGTATAAATGAAATATATTATATAAATTTGTTAATAATAATATTATTTATATGTTTATTATCTCTCATTTCTTTTCATTTAATATAATTCTAATAAAATCACAACCAGGTCAAGAACAAGAAAGCTTTATCTACGCGATCTTACATGGCAACGATCCACAGATACCAGTATACTATCATAAATTTCTGCGCTTCATCCCTGGTAAATAAATCAGAAGATCATATTAGAAAGTATAAAATAAAGAATTAGAAAGAACACTTCTCTACAGTGTATATTCACCAGAACATAAAGATAGATATAACAAAGATAGTGAACATCAGTTGCAACGTAAGGAGACAGAAAACCTTGCGAACAAAGCTTCTCCTAACAATAATGTCCTTAAAATCGCCTATAAATTCATCGGCTTCTTCTTGCGGTAACATGTTCCTTCTGCGCTGTTCTCGCACCCAGGCTTTGTACAATTCTAAATTCTCTCTTTCCCTCTGTGCTACCATTTCATCTGTCACCGTGATAGTATAGGGCCCCTGGAATTAGAATTAATTATTATTATTAAAATAAAAATCTCTCAAATCTTTTCACTTACATTGTTACTGATTCACAATTCTAATGCCACAATTATTTATTAAAAATAAGCAAGAAGACAACCATTGAAAAAATCCCAATTTACAGAAATGTTATAGAAAGAGATTATAAAAAAATATAATTACATATAGTAAAAAGCTTACATACATGAATCTGGAAAATTATCAAATTCAACAATACTGAGAATTAAGACTTGTTGTTTGCGATTAAAAAACGTCACTTACACTTTTTACTTTCTGGCCTTTGATTAACGGCGGCAGCTGCGGAGGACCTGGGATATTCTGTGGAATCCGCTGATCTTCGATATCGATATCGTCGGACTGCATTGAATAGGCCGAATAAAAGTGCTTGTTAACATATATCAATCTCTTGCTCCTCTGATTTTTGTTGTTATACCTAATAGTACCTAAACATGTCTAATTATGCGCTGAATCTATTATAAATCAATCGCAACTGCGATTAACAAATGAAGATATATTAAGTAGTTCATGAAGCAATCGCTTTAAATATTAGCAGGTGCAATTAAAATTGAAAATATATTTTAGAAACATGAAAAAATATAATTTTAGTAATAAAGACTTAACTTTTTCTTATAATAATTAACGTAATAAAAATGTACAGAAAATATTTATAATTTTATTAAATGTTGCAACAGAACAATGTAGATAAATTAATTACAATAAAATTACATAATAAGCACAGTATATACTAACTAATAAATACGTATAATAAGTTGCGATGCACGAATTAAGTTAGTACTGAATGTTTTGGTTTCAAAATTTTCAAGTCAAGCGAAAAAAAATTACGAGAATAAATTACGTTAATTACTATTTATTTTAATAATTTCGTTTAATACGTTTATATTTTTTATTAGTTGATTATTGAATTCTTTTAATTAACTAGCATTCAGAAGAATAAAACGAGGTAGAAAGTATCACCACTGCTAGTCGTTTAGGCGCATTAAAGCTAATAATAATAAAATTTATTATGTATTAACAATGTATCTATAGAAGATATTTGTTGTAGCAAATCTCTCAACATTTTTATTATATGTCGTTAGCAGGAAGATAATTAAGCGTACAATTATTTTATTAATTAACATACGTATCACTTAATGATGATGCTCGCGTTATAATGTGATCAACAATGCGGCAAGTTAACGATGCGTGGTAAACTAACTTCCTACAAATGTAAAATAATACCAGTTCTCATAAAAAATCTGTATAATACCTCAACAAGTACGTAGAAATAATTTTATTGTATTGCTAATATTCACCAAAATGAGATTTATTTTTCATTAGTTCATTTCACTATAATTTGTACGATTTACCGTTGTCTTAACATTATTTTCGAATCTCGCCTGATCGATTCAGTTTCGTGATTGTAGTAAATCTAGCTCTTAACAATACGATGAAAATGGTAACTCTTGTGTAACTAAAACGATTCACTCACGATCGTGTCGAAGTGATACTCTATAAATGTAAATTTGAGAAACATTACCTTCTTTTGCGATATTCCTACATTGTAATTATTAGCTTGGCACAAAAGATTTTTTTCTATAAAGTTGATAAAAAATCGATTTAAATTTTAAGAGATTTATATATATATATATTATATATATATAGATATTATATATATATAAATATTATATATATGTATATTGTAAGCTGGGCCGAGAAAAAATGTCGGACGCTCGACGCGATGTCGGGACTCGAACCGAGGACCTCGAATGTAGTTCGAAACACAAAGCCACCGCCTTACCGCGGAGCCACATAGCCCGACACGTAGATCTTAATTAATATCTTACAATATCTTGATAAAAATAAAAATAATTTGAAAGTTATGTAACTTCATTTTCAGCTTTATTTGACAAATTGTGACAAATCTTTTGTGTCAATCTAACGATGTTTGCTCGGTAATAATATCGACAACAAAAATTCCGAACAACTGTATGGTAAAAGTAAAGTAAAAAAGATTCCGTACGTCCTGTCTCTTTCTTGTCAGTTTCTTGGTACCTTTATATTCTTACGTTTCCATTTACGTCTTTTCAGTTTCTTGGTACAGTATATAAGTAACGTCCCTTTATCTGATTGTTGCGCTCACGCAGTATCAGTCTTATAAATAGTGTCTGTAGAAATTACGCATAGAAATTGTGCGAATTCGCTCGCAAAGCATTCCGGAAGTAAAGAAGCTCGATTTGTCTTCTCTTTTGCTTGTTTTCTTTTTTGACATAACTCGTAACTGCTCAAGCGTTTCTCTCTCATATTTACGCGTTATTGCGTTATACTCCGGATTGATTAATCTGCTCCTGTATTTTACTGCACAATAACTACGGGGAAAATTATAGATCGTATAGTAAGATATGTAATCAAAATGTAATGTAAAATAATGACATTCTATAAAAGATACTTTTGTGAAATTATATAATTAGCGAAATACATACCTGTTTGATATTATGATCTGTTATTAAAAGTATTTTTGATTGAGCGGCACTGCCAAATAGACCTAGTTTCTTTTTCTTACTAATGTCCCTAATAAAAATCTGTACACCTTTGTCTACAACTTTTGTTGGTTCGCTGAATTCGGTCCAAGTGTGAGTCCAATCAACCTAACAAAAATGATAAATCAATAGATACATAGTTTTTTTTATTTTGAGAAAACCAACGAGCAAAATCAATTGATCAATGTAATAAATACTAACCCGCCAGCCACCGAACAAATCACTACGTTCGAGATATGATAATCTTTTGTCAGTGAGTAAAAGCACGTCTTTATTGATAAATACATGATAGACATAAACATCTGTATGTGCATATCTCCCCTTTTCTAATTCCTATAAAAAAGAAATCTTATAGAAAACTTTCTGCATATAAATATGTATAAATAAATTATAAACTTTATTGTGTATAACAAGAATATTTGTACATAATACAAGATAATAAAACTAAGATAATAAAACTCTATATATTTTTTACAGACTATTATAATTTATAAAAAATATTTCTTTATAGAAGCATCTCAACTTTTGTTTTCATTTATATATAATATTATAATATAATCCTATATAAATTAATTATATATATTCTATGAAAGTGTATTATTATAATAGAATAAATCTAGTGAAAATGGACCATTTAAAAATTTATTTAAAAATTTTGAAAATAAAAGAATCAAGGATTGTTAGAAGTATAGAATTTTTACCATTAATATCTTGTTGCCCTCGGCTTCATCTCTTATGTATGGTCTAACGAGACTATCTGGCTGCAGAAATCTGGGTGACCTTACTCTTTTTGCTTCTTCACTTAATTCAGTGGCTCTGAAATAAATACATTAAATGCAATCTCCACCATACTGTATAAATTAATTTCTGAACAATTCCAAACTTTAATTAATTATCTTATTCATTAATTGAATTAAAACTATTTTCGTATAATTAACAAGTCATACCGTCTGACAGCTCCAAAAGAACCACTTGCGAAGTCAATAACACCAGCAGTAGGTCTAGTAACAAGTCCAACAACACCCTTTCCAAACCCTTTGAAAAATCCTTCCACTCCTTCCTCTTTCGCTCCTGATAAAGGTTTCATTACCACACCAGTCACACCATCGACTACACCCTATTAAATGACACAAACAATTTATAGATATATTAAATTAAATAACTAACATAATAATTAATCCGCGATCTTTTACCATTACTAAACCCTTTCCACTTCGTGCAAGACCTTCTTGTAAATTGGCGGGCTGTTTGTTGAGCTGCTCTTGTCTCTTTCGCTGGTAATCCTTGTCAAAAGTTAAAGCAGCTATACCTTTGCCTGCAAAAGCGTAAGAGTAATAAAATAAATAAATATTTTAAATTAAAATAAAAAAAAAATTATCAAATGTTAAAAAAATTTCGACAATTAAACATAATGCAAAATTCATTATTAGCGTAACATTATCTTTTGCAGCAAAAATGCAACGTTTTAGTTGAGAAAAATGTAAAATTCGAGAAAATGCATACCCATCGCTCCCGTGATCTTCGACACAGCGCCCGCCATTCCGCCGACGGTATGGCCCAACATGCTACGCACTCCGAGGAACAGGCCCTCCGCGAATTCTCCTGGACCCTGTATGGCTCCTTGAAAGGGTTCGTAAAACAGATCTTCAATGCCCTTCATGGTCCCGATTACAAGCCCATATGGATTACCGATCACATCGAGTCCCAGTACGAGTACGTACGCTTGCTTAATTGCCTGACCTGCATAATGAGTGCTCGCCTCGGAGATGAGCTGTTTATGCGTCATGAACACGTAGTTTCTTTCGAAGTATGCCAATCTGTATCAATACAAGAATATTTAGAATCTTATAAGAATTTGTACAAGGACTACAAAATTCTATAGTACGTTTTTTTCAAATATCTTTAATTATGTATACTAATTGTAAGTTGTACTAATTAAAGGTCTTACTTAAACACGATGTCGTTAATATCCGTCAGCGTCACTCCAATTCCTTGCAAAAGCACGTTTAGTACTTGCGGTAATGCTGAGGGTCCTCCTCCACTTCCGGTCATTGAAAAACTGATGTGTATCTGTAAACAAAGAAAGAAAAAGAAGATTAAGATGTAACTATCAAATAATAACATATTTGCATTTTTGTATTCAATATATTGAAACGTGACGTACTTTGAGAGGCGAAAAGTGCAGTAAATCAAAAAAGTTCTTCTGCTCGGCCGTGGTGATCAGACTGACGTGGTACATTAACGGTTCATTGACTAGTTTCATATCTTTACGGAATAAAGCACTCTGAAACAAACGAACAAGATCATCAATAAACTTTAAAACGATCTAATTGTAAGACGAAATATCCCGCGTCTCACCTCTTCCGCGTCGTTGACCTCATTCGCTTCAAGTAAGCCCATTATCGCGTTTATAAACACAATGTCCACCTTGATGTGAAATTCTTGTATGAGAACTTTAAAGTATCGAAATTGTTGCACAGTGCTGTGTTCCAATAAGCGCTTGACCATACTTAGCTCCGCAAAAGGTTTTATGACTACAGAAATACACAAAGAATAGGAAAAAAATTAGAAAAGTAGATATATAGTTCTTTAAAAAGTTCAGGAGGTTCAGAACTTATGTTTTCATTATTAGTATTTTATATGTTTTCATTAATAATATACGATGGTTAACTTTCAACTATAGTATTTTCAAGCCAAATTTCTAAAGTCTTGTCTAATATACAATATAGAATACAACTAAACTTCTCTGATCATTGAAAGGTTTTTTTTTTACCTACAATTTAGAATCTCATAAACAATCGTACAGATTTATTATCTATCTAAAACTTTCTCTCAGATCCAAACATATATCTATAGTTAAAGATTAAAATAGAAATGCATAAGGAGGTGCAATAAAGGAAATTATTTCTTGTATAAAAAAAAAAATAATAAATAATACCTGTACTCTGTGTGACACTCTTCGGCGGTGGCACTGGAGCTAATATAACTGGAAAGACGCATTCCGACAACTGATTGTCGATCTGAAGTTTGTTGATCTTTGCATGCAGCTGTACCTGATGCGCTGAGGTACGATATTGCAGCCAAAGTCCAGTTTGAAAGATGCGTCGCAGGTACCTACGATGCGGTCTCAGCATCTCCATATTCAGATAATCTACCTAGAAACAATAAAAAACGATTTAAAAAATTACGTAATAATAAGCGTTTCTTGTGGTTCAGAAATTAAATTAGATCCCAGCATTAAACACTTTAATTAAGCGGAAGCTTTTTGTTTTACCATTAGTTTTGGATCCAACATTATCCGGTAGTCCGCGTCCATTTTGCCGATTTGCAATTCTCTAATGTATCGTTGATATCCCTCTTCAATAGCGTTAACTTCCTTAGCACATAATGCTCGCCATCGGCTACCGAGGGACTTACGCGTCTCCCATATGATCCCTGAGCTGGATTATAATATAGAATCTCATTAATTTTACATGGTAACATGGTAACACAATTATACAAAGAGAAAATAATAATTATTTCATTAAATAATATTAAATTTATACTTTTTAATTACTGTGTAAAAATGTTAACTATGTGCAAAATTATATACGTATAATTATATTAAAAATATAACTTTAATTTTAAAAAATTACGAGATGTGTAAATAAAATTTAATATTAAGAATTGTAGTACTTACCTGGCGATACACATATACAGCAGCTCGGACTTAGTGATGTTGTTCACAAGGGAGAATCCAATGCCGTGAATGTTTAATGTAATTTCCTGATCGATTACCTCCAGATCACCGGCCAGCTGACAATCCTCAGCAATCTTCAAATTTGTAGTGAACAGTAGTACTCTCTGCGTACCGTCTAGGAACGAAACGTAGAACAGTTTCTCATCTACTTCTGGCAGTTGAAAGGTACCAAGATTATCCTAGAAAAGAAATAAAGATGGTGTTCATAACGCATTATTCGCTTTTATAAACACTTTCTCTTGCTTTTGATCATCTATTTTGTTTACCTTGCGAAGATTGTCCTCGATTTCCTTGCCACTGTGATCCTCCCAAACCAGTTTTCGTGGGCCCGCCGGATTTTCCCAGGTATAAAACATTCTATTGTATGACTGCACGGACCTATCAATGTACAAATGCGCAACCGATTCATATTGAATAAATATAGTAATTCATTGCAAGCCTTTCTGTTTAACCCGAGAATAATATTGATAAAAATATTAATTTTAATTAGAGTACAAAAATCTTCAGATGGTCGTTTAAAAAAAAAAACTGCTAAGTTTTCCCGTGTCAGTGATCTCGTTGGTCAACTTACCTAACATTAATGGAACCCTTTTCCCATACATTGATGGTATGTGGCGTGTGGTTGATGATCATAGCTGGCGCATTGCCTGGGACATAGGCCGACATGGAGATGTAAACACCGCCCTCGTTGATTTGCACGTCTACATTGATTCCTCCATACTGTGGTGCAAAAGGCTTTGTTAGAGGTATAAAACGCGAGATACGAATACTTTATTATTTATTCTAGTCAATTATTCTAACATAAATAAATTATGTGTAATATATTTAATTATTATCCTCTGTTACCAGCTTAATTACCTTATTGTCCAATTTTAGTAGAGTTGTGTGACTGTCAGTATAAATAAACGCCGCAGTTTTCTCGGGTTGACTTGCGACCTTGGCCTTCAGAGTCTTGTTGTCATGTTCAGTTCGAGGCCACAGAGCCGCGCATTCACCAGGAGGCACCTTGGCAAGCAGAAGTGTTATTATAATGCAATATTTGTACAGTAATCAAATTTTTTATATCTAACGTACTTTGATTGTCGGATCAGCTGGTCGATCACCCTCCTGACATTCTATAAGAAAATCTGCGTTGTTGATAAGTATGTAGTACGGTGTAAACGTGATCTGTTTGGTTAACGAGTTGTACGTCAGCTGATTGTGTACTCCAATCTGTAACAAAAAAAAAACTAGAGCTTTATCATATATATTTTTCATTTCTTGTCTTATTTTTTTATTCTTTTTGTCTTAAATATATTACATTATTAATTTGTTAATAAGTACATTTTAATACACAGATAAAAGAAATAAAAATCAATGATATAAGAACCTGATATATCATTCCATTGTATTTACAAGCCACTACACCCTCACTGCCCGCAACGTCGATGGAGAATTTATCGGACCACTCTCCGTCTTCCACTCTGATCATGGCCTTCTTCTTGCCAAAGAAAGCTTTGGAGCGAAACGAAAACAAAATAGGTCCCTTGAAATGTTCCGGATGGTACAAGACATTCAAGTAATCATCTGCTGTCTGGAAAGAGTAATCGATATACCTCAATGTTCAGCTCGTCAAAAATATTACCTTCGGTACATCATGCAGTTAAGAACAAGTAACAAACACCTTCATAATATTAACTTGTTATACAAACTTTGTCGATTTTGCGTTGCAATCAAGATGTTTTACGTCTAGTATCTAAAAATGTGGAAACGTTCGAGGATTGAAGGATTGGCATATTTAAGAATACAGCTATTAAAAAAATATATATATAAATTAATTAAGAATAGAGAGGACTAAGTAAAGAAAACAGAAAATGAGTAGCGTGTGTAACAAAGCACAGTTATACATAACGATGTCAGCTAATTACTGTTAATTTATGTATTTTGTAAGTGTGACTTATGTTCAATAAAATGCAATTGTAAAAATCGACACACTGCGACTAACACAATGATAATCTAACTTAATTTGAGGCTGTTTAATTCCGGTGGTATGATTAGATTAAACGATTGTTATTTGACAATGATCGAGTCTTACGAACACAAGCGAACACGAAAATAGCGATAATATTGAAATAAAGCGATGTGTCACCGCGCGAGTTTTCCTCTTCCTGTACTGTGTGCGTTGCCGATGAGGTTTCATAGCAGAAACGAATTTCTGAAAGACGTTGGCACATACATTTTCACGAATAAAGCAATGAATATTCAACAACAAAAATTTACGACAAGTAAGCGGTATAAAAATAATTGTTCATAGTCATAATTACAATATTATTAACAATAAAACGAAAAAAATCGATTTTGCTAAAATATTATATTAAAAAATTTAGGTATATACAGATTTAAAAATAATTATACAAAAAATTTAAACGTGAGTAATGCTGCAAAAATTTTGATATCCAAGCAAGTGGTTTAAGCATCTTATATGATTTTACTTTGACAGTATGATTACTTCAACAAAAAATTATGTTTAAATCTGCAGCTAGCTAAATATTTAAATTAAATAGTAAAATCGTTCTTTCCGTGCAATAATAGTGTAGAATTAGGAAATTCTGACAGCGAGTTTTGCTAATAATATACAAGATGCTGTTTGTGAGAAGCACAATGATGCAGCACGATAATAGGAAATCTCTACCTTCATCGGGCTTGAGTGCTCTTTGCCAACCTTACTTGATTTCTGTAAAATAATGAAGCATGTTGAATACAGAACTAATCAGGCAAGACGCAATGCTGGTTAGTTTTGCAATACACTAATGGGGGGGTACAAGAAAGGCTGAAGATCGAGCGAGGAAGCAAACGTAATTAGTACAAGAATATTTGACATAAGAGTGCGTATCAATAAAGAATCTACAACATATGACTGATGCAAAAGGGGCTCTCTGCAAAATGCAGTTAAGACATGAAAATTTTAAGAAACTTTCGACATTCTTTGACAGATGTAAAGATTAATAATAAATTGCAAATTGTGTGCAAAGAGGCAAAGTTACCAAAAGCGACGAAACTATCGCTGCAAACACATACTCTATAGGACAGCATTAAACCAGTCTTGTTCAGCATCCAGAAGGGACAATACAGCGTCATGACGATCGAACCGTGTTTGTAAGACATGTGCATTCCGAGATCCATAACCACTTTCTGCGCGTTGTCGAAAGACTCAAACGACCAAACCGTAAATTCTGGTGGATCCGCCATAATTTCGCCCATGCATGACCAATCTTTCTCCAGATAATTGGGTAACTATAACACATCATTCGATTTAAATAAATAAATCGTTATGTTTGCAAACGTTATGTTTTATAAAAGTTAATAATTAATAATTATAATTATTAATAATTATTAAATTTTTATTAATTGCCGCGTGTTCTACCTTAATTATTATGTTTGACTTGGCCGGATCAATTGTAGGAAGTTGCATAGAGGCACTTGCTTCGAGTAAGTTTTCCTGAACTGTGCTAGGCAAACAGATGATGATATCGATCGGTAGGAAGTTCTTCAGATACACAGACGGGTATAAATGTACATTGTAGACGGTACTAGCCATAGTATGACGAGTGGTATTTTCGAAATATACCTGCTCGATCTCTCCCATGGCCTGTACAAACGAATATTCTGTATACTTCTATTATTTATTACTAAGAACATTTGTCAATTTGATCAAGTCAATAAATACACATATTTTGTTATAAAAATTATATATGAAAACACCGACCTGTATATAAAATGGTTCTGTAGAATCTTGTTTAGATCGTGACTCGCATTTCAATAATTTCATCATGGAAACAGTTTTCTGCAGATCTTTCCAGACAAATGGTTCGACTGACACCATATACCTAAAGTACGTTAAATGTGATCATTAAAAATTTTATGTCACAGTTTTTCGTTGTCTATATTTTGTAAAAATATATATTATATAATTATAATTTTAATATAACATATGTATTATACTAAGAATTTTTTTATTTGTCTTATTTTATTTTCAAAGTTACATTAAGGAGGGGTTTCACGTTTGGTAAAATTAGCCCATCTTCATGAATTGTTTAAAAGAAATCTATTATATTCTAAATCTATTATATACAAACGAACGCGAGTTTTTGCATAAAATTATTTAAGGTTTAAACAGCAAAGAAAATATCTTTAGTTAGATGATAAATATTTTAAAAAATTCTTTTACAAGGATACTTTACACACATGTAGAAAAATAAGCAAAAAAAAAAAAAAAGAAATCGATTTTTGAACGGCTAAAAAAGTGAAACCCTCCTTAAGCGATTTAATGCAATAATTAAGAAAATAATATTATTAACGTAAAAAAAATGCAAACATACCCGTTGACGCTAAAAAACAGCCAGTAAATGTTGGTCGGGGTATACACGGCGTCCAGAGGTAAATTGAGTTTCTCATCCGGAGCTACTGTGCCCACGCACTCTACCTCATTTCCACGCTTCGTCATATAATAAACAGATATTGGCTGTGCGAAGTGATTGTGAACCTACAATAAGTAAGAAATTAATTATCACTGATAAAACATAATTCGTTCTCCTGCATTTACCTGAAGAATGCTTCTGAGAGTGACGATAGTACTACCCTCTTCCACAATAATATCCGACACAATACCCCATTCCTCGGAACCTTCCTTTCGGTGCTTTAAAGAGAAGAATCTCCTATCTGCTCTCAGCACAGGTATTGCCAATTTGCCTTGAATGCCTTTAAACTATTAAATCATCGTATTATGTTAATTATATTAATAATGATAAAATAGTCACAATTTTTTTATTTTATTTAAAACTCAACAAGTCGTATCATACATGAAATATTAAAAATAGATCGTAGATTAGTTTAGATTCAACGTTTTCTTATTTGTAATTTGAAAGTTCTTACTTTCAGTCGCTTGTCGATTATTTTCGACATTTTCATCAAAAGATCGACTCTCCAAATTCGTTAAAGAATCATGAATCTTTACAATTCTACATTCTATGATTATACAATAACTCACAGATATGGAGAATTTACTATCTTCTCTGTCCTTCACAGTTTCCATTTTCAACTGCTCAATTAGACGCGTGTCAGCCATCTTGGACGTTTTCGATGCGAGTTGTATCGATGCACCGGTTTCGAGGATTACTTCCATATACGAGTCAGTATGATCTCTTATTTTCGATCCATCATCAAAAATCTATAAAAAAATCTTTTATATTCCTCTTTTATATTGATAAAATTGTCAATAAAATCATAAAATCATATTGAATGTTAATTCATAAAATTATATTGAATAGATAAATAAGTGAATAGAAGAATCCTCATTATGATGACCTTGAAGAAACTGTCCTCCAAATCGAGTATTATTGTCAAGCCGGTCTCATTTTTCAGCACATACGGTGCCTCTTTTTTGGTAGGCCCTTTCCCGCTGGCTTCTATAGCCGAAGAAAACGATTGGCCCAATTGTTTCAGAACATCTAAACACGTCTTTGTGACAGTTATCTCCAAATTGTCCTATCCCAAACAAAAAAAAAGGTCTTACATCCTTTTGGGATATAAATTCGCAGTAATATTGCGCTAGGTACAATAAATCGCATTTACATTTATAAAAAAATGTCATTTAAGTTACCCAAACACAAATATTTATAATCCACATCTATAATCACAATATTTAACATTTATGTCCTGATAAACTTTGCTTACAAAGGACGTAATGTCGATGGACATCTTGGTAGATTGATGTAATTCTTCGATTTCGCTCTCCGAGGTAGGGCTTACCGCGCTGGCGCCTCTGGAGTCTAACATTATGTCGTTAAATTGAACCTAACAAACAAATCAATAATGTTAATCAACAAAATATTTATTACAGAGAAACAATAGGAAGAATGCTAAAGTTACCTTCGTTTTTAATTCCCACGGCGTTAAAACACATTTACCGTTATTGGAACTTTCTGTTGGCTCAATCAATGGTTCCCATAGCGCAAGACGACTGTTATAATACGACATAATTACCGACATCGTACAGTCCATGCTCATCTGCAAGCACAAGTTACGTAAATCATAATACTCATAAGAGGAGAATAATAATAATAATGACCATAATAACAACATTGAATAAGATTTCTCCACATCTGGTGATTGTTATATATTTTTAATTGCTGGAAAAGAATATGAAGTTAAAAGAATTCTATCATCCACAAATTTTGGAAAAATAATGAATGGAGAGAAACCACAAAAAACAATGTTAAGACGTAAGACAATAAAGCAAGTGGAGATTCTAAAAATTAAAGGTGATGGAATTAAAAAAAATTCTTTTTTAGTGTAAAAAAGTCTTACAAGAAACACCCATTACTTGTTAAGAAATAAAATATAATTGACCAAAATTGTTCTTCAATATAAATAATAAAAACAAATTTTCATAAACAGCTTACAGATTTTGTACTCCAGTCGTTGATGTTGCTTTGAAAACCCACGTGAAGTAGTAACATAGGCAGAGTTTTGTTGCCAACACCCGCCTCCAGAGTAAACAAGATCGTCGGTGCCGAAACAATGGCCAATTCAGGTTTATAAGGTGCCGTAATATCATCATCGTCTGGATACGTAAACTCTTCGAATGCTTCCATCGCAACTTCTAAAACAAATTGATTCGATGGTTTAGTAAATGAAAAATATTTTTTATACAACAAATAATTATTAAATTATCATTATCAACTTATTATTAACCTGTCTTTAAAAACCAGTAATTATTTTCTTCGAAAGGTGTGACAATCCACAATCCTTCATAATTAGGTTCAGGTTTAACAACTTCCTTGTCCTCTTCTTCCTTCCTTGTCACCGTGTGAATGACTTTACTCAATATTTCCATCACACCTTAAAATTATTACATTTTATTTTATTATTAGGTATTAACTATAAGCATAGTAATTTGTAAATTACCTGGCGAAACAGACATGTGTATATCCGTGCAACGAATTTCTAAATGAAGCCCTTTTTCCTCTGGTGTAGAACCGGCTACGCTGATACTGCATGGTCTCAAGACCTATGAAAATAATTAATAATTAACATAATAGATATTAGGATGGATTACTTTAGGATGGCTTTAGGATGACTTAACAATAATACTCTAAAAAAAAATCTACATAAATAGTAAAATTATAAGATTAAAGATTTCTATAAATTTATTTGACAATAATAATTTAATTATCTAAATTGATACAATTAATCATTAAAGTATATCTGCAAAAAGTGACTGGAATTGGAAATTTATACTTTTTTAATAAATGCACATCTATACAATAGTTTAATATTATAGCTTAAATAAAAATTTTATCTTAATTATTATTTTACAAACATGTCTACTTCTTGTTGAAATAATTTTTGATTCACATTCTAGATTACCGCCAAACTTTTCTTTATACGTAAAATACATATTATATAAAATATTATGTATATGTGTACTATACCTGATAGATCCAGTCAGCTCTCTTCGCAGGATTATATATCCCCGCCAATAGCGAGAGATCTTTAATGGAACCTGCTATCACCTGGTGCTCTCCCATGATGCGCACCTTCAGCAATAATTCTGTATTCAATACTATGCAATTCGAGTTGATATCGTCCATGTCTTCGAGCAAAATAATATCGGGTTTCTCCACGTGCAGATTTACAGTTAACATCTTGGGTGTTGAGGCAGCCAACTGCTGCTGCGCCGATTTTTTCTTTGATGCTACCAATTCGTGTTTCGAAGAGGAAGTAGTAGTCTTGTTTGGCCCTTCCACATCAAAGAAGTCCTTAATCTTCATGAGATAATCAAGAGAGACGATGATACTGAAAGAGAACACTCGCACGTCGGCAAACGTGTCGTTTGGGCTTTGACGCACTGTCACGTCCAACATACTTCTAGCATTGTATTTGGCGCGTTCTTTATCGAGATGATCCTCACTCGATCCAGACAACGGCACGCTGCTAGTCCTTTCCATGATTCGCACCAGTGAGCCCACTCGACTTTGCCGCATGTCGTCTAGCGTGCAGTTCATTAGCAGAATCGACGTGGCCAGTAGACCGTCCGCAAACACACGGCCCTTTACAGCAAAGTGTGTGAGACTGAAGCGGGCCAGTCCATGCTCGGGAAGGTGCATTGGTGACATCTGCGACTGCAACAACTTAGAACCGCCGGTGAAGAGATTTATCACCAGACTATCCATGATAAACTCAAACTTCACGGATATGTGAGCGTGTCGTTCCTGTGTTTCGGTCGATGGTATTTCTCGTGATGTGTCGATCTCGTACTTGTATACCGGTTGAATCTTAATACAGTAAATGTCAAGTAAATATTTAGTCAATAAAACAGTGCAACAAATTTTCATCAACTTTTTTGTTTCTCAACAAGTCATGGTGCACGTAAGATTTTTCACACTAAAGGATATGTTTTTGAAAAAATTTCATCACTCTTCAATTTTTAGAAACACCACTTTAAATTCTTTACGTAATGCAAATTTGTAATATATAAAAAAATAATAAATGTAATAATATAAAGCATCTTTTATTAAAAATAATATATGAGAATCATCATTCAGGTGTTGAGAAACAGAAATTTCGTAACACACTGTAATTATAATTGTTGTATATTACAACGATCATTTACCTCAAGATCTGCGCTGCATTCGGATTTCACGGTGGATGGTACGGTTTGCACGTGTTTCGAGTCCTCGAAAGTCTCGCCCAGATTCTGCTCCAGCACTTTCAGAACTGTAGCATAATCTTCTTTACTCAACAGTAGATTGATCTTGTTCAATCTGCCAAACATGTCGATGTCCGGAATAGAAGTAAACCAAGCGGTAGAAAGATTACGCTTCATTAGCAGTGTAAACGTTACTGGTTCCAGTAGCAACACCTCGTTCTCACTGGTAAATTGTTTTAAGTTCAGCCGAACTCGAGATAGTTTCAAGTTTTGCAGTTCGATTTTCATTTCATCGATTATGGGATACTCATCAATATCCTCACTCATGAAATCTAGCTTTTTGAAGACGTTACATACCTGCTCGCATAAAATTTTATAGAGGCGTATTTATCATTTTGTTTTATAAATGTATGCTATATTTAAAGTAAAATTAATTTTTAATATTTAAACTAAATTGATATATTTTGTATTTTCTTTCAAACATTTAAAAAGGGTTATCTTTTACTCTAATACGTAAAACATTTACTTGTTAAAAAATTATATTCACATAATAATTATAACATACGTCTCATAAAAATAGTATAAATCTATTTAATATAATTTCTCAAAATTGAAAAAATATATAATTATGTAGTATTGTATAATAAATTTACATGTGTATATATATATTTTTTTTTAATTCTCTCTAAGAATTTTTTGAAAATTGAGGCTAAATTAATCTGCATTTCGGAATAAACTTATTCTGTACCTTAAGATTGCCCATGTCTAGCATTAAGCTATGCTCATTCTTGGAGCTCATCGGCACGTATATGACAGGCGCCTTGATCCTAACATTTAGCTCGATACGTGAAGCACTTTGTTGAACATCTTTTATATTCGTTTTCGCGGCTTCTGCCGCCGCCGCCGATGCGTCTTTGATAGCTTTCTGCGCCGTTTGAAAGTTATTCAGGAAATTCATAACGCTGGTGACAAATGCATTCAAGAAGACGATGCGATGACAACCCATTGACACTTTGACAGACATGTTGTTTTTGTCCCTCTCCCATTCCTCGATGTTATACATCACCGCTTGAATCTGATGCAAAAATAAAAGATGATAATTGCTTTTAATCGAAATTTACGTTAATTTTCTAATTTTGCAGATCCAATATATTTTATGTACTTATGTTTAATATAATTGGTCGATTTTTTTCATTTTTCATTTTCCATTTCCAAAATCCGAGGAATAAAATTATGTAATTTAAAATTATGTAAGATTGTAACAAATGTTGAAAAAAATGTGTAAGTCGTGAATATTGATTAGAGCTAAAGAAATAACTGTAGATATAAAATAAGTATAAAAGCACTTACCTGCAGTGACTCAGTACCCTCCACAGTCACGATATCCTTATACATAGAAGCAGGATTCAAATCTTTAATGCTGATGGAGGTCAGATCAGCATTCACTTGTAAATACGAAGACTTACTGAGAAAACTGGCGCTGATACCTTCAATATAGAACGCGGTAATATCCCGGGTGGCGCTGGAAATCTTCAGATTGATTGAGCCAATCTTGGCGTTTACTTTTAGATCGATACACTCAACGGTTTGTATTTTACGTCGCCCGATGGGTCTCAATCTCTGCTTCTGTAATTGTTCTTTGAGGAAGCCAGAAGTCTCTTCCTGAATAGAGGTCAACCGGATCGGTCGAGAACGTTCGGTTTCCTTCTTCTGAACATTTTCGAGCGAGTTCATTCGATCCTGAATGTACGTACTAAATCGCAGCAATTCAATAAGAGCTTCTTGATGTAACAATGTGTCCAGCGAGGTAAATTCTAGTCTAAGTAATTTCACGACAGAACCGTGGCGCGTAGTAAATTCCGGTGAGCGCTTGTTTACATTTACATATCGCACGATGATCAAATACTCGTCTCCGCCGGCCGACATCGGCGTGTTGACCATGAAGATCTCCTGACCCTCGTACACTTGCCGCATTTGCACGCCACCCAGTCTCAACTGCACCTCCTGATCATATGTACGTTGTAACATTTCCGCCTCCAGTTGCAGTACCTGAAATCTAAAGAGAACAAATAATTTAGAAACTCTTGGCAAAAATTTTTCTCAAAATTTTTATACTACACTTTTTACAAATACTAAGAAAGTCAACTACTAGTTATTTACTAAAAAGTCAACCTACACCTTTTCTTAAAATTTTTCATATATGTAAATTTTGATATATTATAAGATTTAAAAAATTTCTTTTCTATAGTTTTTAAAATATATTTTAAACTTTTTCAAATTTTACAAGATTTTATCAAAAATTCTAAAAAATCCTAAAATTTATATAAAAATTCTGAAAAATATGTGAACAATTCTAAGAAAAAATTTCATTAAGTTCACGTTAAAACATGAAGCATGCGATGTAAACCTGATAAATTCCGAGGGTATCGTGACATCGTCTCGTTGTCTAGAAATCGATAGCGTGAATTCTTTCATCTCAAATTTCATCTCCAAGTCAGTGGTTTGCTTCATTGGCGCAGCGGCTGCTGTTTGTCTTCTTTTATCAGCAATGCTGGATATCGTGGTGCCAAGTTCCTTCAGCGATAACTGCGAAATGGACTTTGAAAGAGAAGTACGCTGCAACTCCCCGGGTTTTTCCTCTTGAGGTGAAGAAATACTCTGCGCGATTGAGAGCGCCTGGAGTAGTCGAACATCCGTTATGTTCACTGTAACTGATGGTAGGTGACCGAGAAGCCGTAATTTCGGCAATAAAGGATCGTCCGTCACCAAGCACTTGTGGAACTGAATTTCTAATGTAGTTGGATGGAGTAACGTCAGAGAACTCTCGGTACTTGCCAAGGCTGATCGCCATTCTTCATTTGGTAGCGAGACCAATACCTATACAATATATTTAAAAAATATTTATTATTACACAAATAAAATAAAATAATTATATATAAAATAATTATTTCCACGGTATTTTATTACAATCATTAATTTATTCCTATCACTCTGAATAACATTTATTGTTTATCTCAATTAATTTATTATATCGTACATAATACATAGATCTAAGACAAATGTATTTCTCTATATAATATTTATTAATTTATAATACATGGCATAATAATTACTAAAATTGTAAATTAAAACCATTATTACCTGAAAGTTAACTATCTTCAAAACAAATTTGTCGTAACTGTGCTCTCTTAGATGCAGCAATACTTCCTCTTCGCTTTTACCCATGCTAACCAAGTGTCTAACGCTAACGCCAGCCAAGTCACTTTTGCCTTTCTCCAAAGAATGCATCTTTAGACTACCTAGATTTACAACGATCAATGCCTTCGTGTCTTCGTAGAGACCACCGTGCGGTATAATAAGTTGCGATGCTTGCATATCCACTTGTACGTCCAATATCGAATGTTTTTGTATAGCGTACTCCAACCCAAGCGCCGACATTTCCTTTAAGCCTTCAAATTGTTCTGCCGCGGCTGTTTGCAGCTGACTCAACGTTGAAGAGTCTTGCACCTGGAATATTCATCTATATTAAACAAATAGTTGGCAAACAATGAGAAAAAATTATAATAAATTCATCAAAAATTTTAATTGGGATTTAGAAAGTTTTATCATTTCCCAGCCCATTACGCATTTAAGGATTAAAAAGAACACCTTAAACATGTCGACCAGCTCTGTAATGGTTTGCGCGTCATAGATGATGTCGACGGATCGGGACTTGACGACAACACGATCACCGCATAGTTTGTCGAGCGGATTCTTCTCATAAGAAACCGACAGCAGAGCACAGTCAGAACTACCATGTTCTGGAATAAAAAGCGAGGGCACCCGACCACTCTGTGTTGCGCCTAGCAGTTTCATGTCGCTAATAGAGGCAGTGACTAGGATCGCGTTCGCGGATGGTCGCGACTTGAAGCCTGCTCGTACGCCATGTAGTTGTAAATCCAAGACACACGGATGCTGCTTGTCCGTGTCTAGTAAAGAAATTTGCAGACCATGCAAAAGGAAACGTGTGTCGATCATTTCGTATGTTTCTGGGTAATACGCGGGCACGGAATTCTCCTGATAGTCAATCGCCCGATAGAGTTTCTCCTTTTCCTGCGGCGTCATGGCCTCTTCGAATCTAAACATCGTTATTGATATATTAGTTATGTTATATTCGTTAAAAAGATAATAATAATAAGATAGGATAAGAATAGACCAATAAATTATCATGAAATAGTTATTAATAAATATAGTTATAATTATATTATGTAAATATTGACATCCACTTTCCTCATTTATTGACCTATTATCTTATTTTATTATTGTTAATATGAGCCAGATAAAATTACTTTGCTTGCGATTCGTTACAGAAAATTGTATAGAATAGTTTAAGTATATAAAAATCTTTGTAAAAGTACGCAAAAGATTTCTGAAAGCTTGATTTATTAAAATGTTTAACAATAAAAACCTGCGCATGATGGCCGCGGCCGAATTGAGTTCCTTCGTTTCTTCAACCTGCGAACTGGTCCACAGGAAACCGAACCAACCTCGCTTTGCCTTCAAAGTCTTCTCCCGTTCTGCCAATCTCTCCACTTCCATCTCGATTTGCTGTCGGATAATCACTAAGTTAAAGATGTCCAGTTTTGCCTCATAGTCTGTCAATCGTTCCTCGATCTCTTTTGCTAGCTTCTTCGTTGTCAGTTTAACCTGATAGGCCTCAGCATAGGCACGGCAAGCATCGCGATGTAGCTTCATGTGATCCCAGTTCCAGTTGCGATGACACCGTCGCACGGTTTCTTCGAGGACGCAAGTGTACGCGAAATGCCACCACTCCTTATAGTGACCGCGATACGATGTCAAATTCGGTCGGTATTTTCGATACGGTGCAGCTTTCCGAGCCTGATCTAAGCCCTCTCCCAAACGCACCAAGGTTTGATACTGACGCTTTGTTAATCCAATCCGTAGTTTCTGCATCTCTAGATCCAGCCATACCTGCGAAAAGAGAAACAAAATATAAAATAATTTAACTTATAATAGTTTGAAAGTTTCTCAATTGTAAAGACAAATGATTAAGAAGGGAATGTAACAGTTCTATTTAAACAAATATTTTTAATAACTTTTTTTAGAAAACAATTAGGAAACACAATATTCTGGATAATCACAAATAAATTATTTACTAGATTGACTCCCGTTGATGGTATATTTGTATAAACTTTTTTAGAATATGAAAAGATATTCTAAAATACAAAAAAATAATATTGTTAACTGTTTTCAGTGCAGGATAATTTCAAAACTACCTAACTTTTCAAATTTTTTTAAGAAATAGACGTAGCTCCGTATAAACTAATTAAAAAAAATGTTGGTGTTTAAATTATTATGATAGATGTTACACTATACACCAACAGCGCGTAGAGTAGCTACTAGAATTGATTTATATCATTATATGCTGTTTTTCTTACTCTATTATACATATACACCAATTTTTTTTGTATTCCGAGAACGCCTCTTTATATTTCAAAAAAAATTTAGATATCAAGTTTTTCTTTAAAAAAAATTCATAAAAACCATCTATTTTTACAAATTATTACACTGGAAATTTCCCTTGTTGGACTGATGAGTGTAAGTTACCTTAGGGATGGTATAATTGCTACCATCAGACTCGGGCTTGGGATTGAGCCTGAGCTTGGACTTGACATTGATAGGTCCTAGCAGATATTGATAACCTGCGGGAGTATAGTCCATAGTTGCAATGCCACTACAAAAGAGATTGGTATACAAGGATTGTGAGCTCTTGCTGTACTGCTCCATGCTTGTATTGAGATAGGCGGCCAGTCCGTCCAGATTGCACAATTTAAAGATTTGAGGAATGGCATACATGTCCTTCAAATTGCCAGTGGTCTCCCAGGAATCTGTACAACTCTCAAGGACGAAAGTATTTAGGGTAAAGCCAAAGGAAAATGGATGTTCTTTGAAGGTGACGTGGTCCTCGTACCGCACGTGAATCCTCTTGATTTCTACATGAATATTCTTGATCATGCGAGCGACTAACTTCTCGACCATCGAGTCGTCCAGTTTTTCTTGCGCTGTATGAGTTAAAATATTTTTAATCCATGTTTAAAAGAAGAAAAATGAAAACTGAACATCTCCGAATATACATATTTCTGTAATTTTAATTTTTATAAAAATTATAAATATGTAAAATAAATTAAGAGAGTAATAATATTCATTAAATAAAAATTATAAGAAAGTTATGCTATTTATCTTTATAATCGTACAATTCAAAACTTTTACTATATCAATTTATATAACAAAAAAATATAAATATCTAATTACATTTTATATCCGCTAATTGCTTTCTTTTTTCCACTCTTGCCAGTTCCGCTCGTTTCGCTTCCAATTGTGCTTTCGTCTCTTTATCTTCATTATACGAAATTTGACTCGTAGGCACTACCAGTATAAACAGTTCTTCGACTATTGCATCAATCTGACCATTCCACATATCTTTAAACGGGATCTTCAATATCAATTTCCCTGAAAGCATTTTATTGTAAAATAGTAATTTTTATATTATCTTTTATCATATTATATCGTATCATCTTAATCTTAATAGTCAATATTTTGCATTGTTCAGGTTTATTATAATGTATATATTAATAAATAATGTAATTTTTATACCTAAGCGGCCATATTCTAATCTCACTGGAAGATCCAAAACATCTAACGCAGACTCTTTTATCAACAAATCATTTAACACAAGATCGCCTGAAAGCAAAGGTTTTTTTTTATACGAGATATACAATTGTTATCGAGTAATGGAATCACATCGCATGTATTCTTACCTCCCCAAAGACTAACTTTAAGCTGCGTATAGTCCAAATTCTCAATATACTCGCCAATCACCTTATTAAGAAGCTCCGCAACAATAGATTCAAAAACCATTTTGCTGCCGGTTTTCTTCTCGTTTCTTCTCAATCAAATACTGTAACTCTTCTGTGTTATGACGTTGTCATACGATTCTTAAAATAAAGATAAACATTTATGTTTGATAAGTTATATTTATAATTACAGTGTAACTTTAGAGAAAAGTACTTTTATATAGACAATCGAGATTTTTATTAGATTCAATCATAACGTAGAAGACCTTTTTATATCGATAATGGTATAATTGCTAATTTTTTTTAAACAAAGCGCTATGAAATTTGGTTTCGATCCAATACTTCAACTAACAGTTAAAAAACTATATTTTAATACACACGTACTACACAGACATGTTATATTAAAACAAATTTTGTAAATACTAGTAAGCAACTAAGAAGAATTTATAGGATAAGGTGGTACTTTTAAACATAATACAATTCTGAACGAAATAAGATCTTAATCCAATTTCGAAGTTTAAGTTCAATTTAATTTCTACTGTTTGGTACCTTCAGTCCTTCCATATAAGGTTATCACAATTAAATTGAAATTGAACCAATGAAACTTTATCTCTTCCTTGATTAGCCAGAATTTACACTCTGACGCATCATACATGTACATCCTGTCAGCTTAAATTTATCTTATCATTAGAACAAAGATAATATATTGAGATATATGAGAATAAATATATAATTATATTACACTTTTTTGTCGAGCTGTAATTTAATTGACATAAGTATCCCAACAAATGGAACTTCAGAGAGTTGCTTACATGAAGCAGAAATTAAATGAATACAAGGGATCACTCTACCCTGCACTGAAACAATACCAGCGTTAGTTAACGGGTTCGAAATTCATCGAGAACGGCTCATCACAACTTTAAACTGCAGTGTATTTTTCTGCTCATTATTACTTGTAATTATGTTCATTTCACATTTGATAACAGCTGTATCAGTCTGATAGAAGTTGCTTTTCATTTTCACACAAGTGATACTGTGTCTAAAGTTACATATTTTATACTCAGATAATGACGTCATTACTTGCTTACTTCAATGACAAAGTTATCGAATAACAATACAGGTTTATAATCCTCATTATTAATATCAGCTGACAAGACTCAGTAAAGCATACTGTCTCGAGCGTTTGCAGATTATAGATAAATCTCTGTTGAATCTTACTTGTCAAAATGAAAAAAGGAATATGTATTCAACTGAGTTATGATGTCACAAATGAGAATTATCTGAGTTTGGTGTAAATGCAAAGTGACTATAATTAGTGAGTCATATAAAATTACAAATAAAACAAAGATGAACTAATAAAAATTTCAGTTGACAAATCATTGTTCTTTTCTAAAGTTATACAGAGAATCAGTTGTATATCTTGAAACAAAGTAAAAATTACAGAAATAAGCTAATTTACTAGTTGTGAATAAATCAACTAAGTAAAATAAACACTACTTATATTTATTATTTCCAAGACCAGATGCTGAAATAATACATCGCATATTTAAATAAAGGATCACATATATTTGTTACAAAAAACCAATTCCTGTCAAATTGGCTAAATTTATAATATTTAAATATTAATATCTTCAATATGTGATTGCTTTTATGATGCTGATTAAAAGTCTCGATGATAATACATAAAATCGCAACAAAAATTACAAGTTATGAGATCACATTTTATTTTATTTTAAATTGTACTTTTCTAATTTAATGTATTTTATAAATAACTGAGTTTTTAAATAAAAAAAAAAATTAAAATTCTTTACTTGTTGAAAACTTATTTCATACTTATTATATTCACTTTATTTCACATTTAATCTTTTCATATTTAAGACAGAAACAATTCACAATCACGTTCTTAATTTGGAATTAAATTTGGACATGTAAAATGGGACGAAGTTAAAATTTATCCCTCTTATTTAAAACGATTGATCAACTTGCCACGTTATAGGTCTAACTTGCTAGATAAAGAGTTCTTTCTCTTCACTTTACACAAACATAATTACAAATAATTATGTTGTATAACGCGACGCAATGTCACGCCGAGAAGTGACGCATATTTACCTTAATTTCATCAAAACACGCAATAATTCGTATAGACGATAATCGCGTATGTGGCCAAGAGCAGATGAAACAACGAAACGACGACGTCGTCCACAGCAACTTGTCGCCGTCGCGACGACGAGCTTTCGCTACCGTCGCACGGTGTCCACGGCGGACATAACCTTGAAAGCCTTGGGGTAGCCCGAGCACGTCTCTTTCCGTCGAGTTACGTCATCCCCGAGGAGCGTGAGTCGTCTGGCGCACTCCAGGAGCGCACGATCCCGACCCGCCCAGTTGTCCGTTGACTTGTCAGAGCTGAGTTTCCGGTGTACGTTTCATTTACCGGTCTTCTCCTTAGCGTCACTGATCTGTGTACATACACGAGCGCGACAAAAACATACCACGCCACAGCATTGAGAAGAGTAAGCGGAATAGATCGGTGACGTCCGGTTACGTCATTCGCTGATGTCTTGCGGTAGAAATATCCACACGCAGAGAGAAACCTCACGTATCAGCTGAGAGGACCAACAAATGCGGAACGGGTATGTGTGATGCATGTGGTGAACGAAAACAGCATCAAGGTCATGCTAGAGGTGCATTCGGAGTGGCGCTGTTAGCGCTACTTGTATCATTCTATCCTTGTTTTCTGTCTAATAAACGATGAAGATAGAATGGCACAAATAGCGCTAGTAACTCCCCGAACGCACCGTTTTAAATGACGCGGGTAAAGATATCACGACGATATATCGCGAGTAGAGATCGCGAGGTATCGTTTCTTAGTCGTGCGCTGTCGATTTTGCTAATGCGACGAGGTACTTTTTAAAGAACCGAAATTTTCGGCAAAAAATTTTGTCGTCACCAAAAGAACTCCGAGGGCCCAAAAGTATAAATTAAATTGAAGAATGCTGATATTATTTGACAATTGATATAAACTTGCAATTAATAACATAAATATTTGACTAATATACACACATTATTAAATTCATGATTTTTTGATTATATAAAATGTTTCGATTTACTTTTAATGTTATAATATTTTATTTATTAATTACCGCGAAGACTTACAATTTTTTCTCTTATCATTTCTGCTGATAATCAAACTTGGATGATGACATTGAAATCACAATTTTAAAGAAAAATCGAATATTATATAATAAAAATTATAATTCTTCGGTAATTAATATATAAAGAAATAACTAATTCAATACTACTAAATTTACAAAATTGCATTTAATCTAGACCTGTGTTCGGAAATTTTACTCGAATGACATGTGTATTATTATTTTTTTTTATTCTTATTGTTCACTCTGTGTTGAACAAGGAAAAATGCTTTTCACGAAAAATTGCTAATAAACGTTATATTGTTTATAATAAAGAAGTTGTGTCTGTGTGAGGCTTTTCAGTTTATTCACTTTTCATTTTCCTTTCCTACATAGTATTATATAATATACATATATAATTATATATATTACTTTTCGACTGTTTGAGCATTATCTTTAAAGGCGAGGTATAAATAAGCTCACATTTTTTTAGTAAATTAATTTATTAATAAATACAACGAGTAATGCGAGAGAAGAGAGAGAGAGAGAGTAGTCTAAGGCACAGATTCTTCAAGTCGTTCGAACGATATGGAAGAAAGTTCTCTCTCTTCAGCTAATCCAACGTATCTTTCCCAGTCCTTGGCAGTAAAAACGAGAAGAAACCGCAGGCTGAAAATCAATCGAGTTATATTACATTCGAGTGGATTAAACTATGTTTCCTATATCTCATACTCATTGAAATCCAAACCAAATCTTATTCATCTCGCAAATTGAAAATCTTACAGACTTAACTAAACAGACTTTACTAAAAATATTCTTACCGAAGAGAAACGCGGCGAACAGTATGATAGGAATAACGCAGGCTAAATCGATCAGATAACCGAACACCAGATTGCCGACCAGGGCACCTAGACGACCCATCGTCAGTGATAGAGCTGCGGCCATCACTCTGTAATGTGTTATATGATATCGGATTAATCAATCTTGAATCAAAGAAGTTCAGGAACTCGAATCGTATTTTGTTCACCTGAGATTCGTCGGGAACATGTCGACGATCACGCAGTAGACTAGAGAGATCCCGAGGGACGTGAGAGCCTCGAACACGCACGAGAGCACCAGGTTCTGCATCGAGTTCACCACGTAATAGAAACCAACCGTCACTGCGCCGGAGACTACCAGCGAAAAGACTGAAAGCACAAGCATCTCGTATAGTTCTATTAGAATGTAATTGAAGTTTAATTATATATCGCTCTTTTGCTTCAAAATAAATTTAAAAAAATATGTGATTTTCAAATTATGAATAAACTATTTAGATAAATATTACTCCATCAATTATCAACGGCGTGAATACTTAACTTTATAAAATTGTTAAAATGTCACACATAACTAAATATTTAATTAACATAAAAAAAGAATGGTTTTTAAAAAATTGTCAAAATGGTGACGACTGAAAAGGATGATTTTTTAAGAGTTGTGAAACAAAAATGACAAAAATAACAGTTCACTATATTAAGAATACATGCTTTTTGAAGATATTATTAATTTGATTATTTTTTAATAATTCTGTCAAGTTGAAAAATAGTTTTTCTTTTTTTGAGAAATTTAATTTTTCCTAATAATATTCTTATATTGTTAAATTTTTTTAGTATAAGTCACTTAGAAGTAAGAGAGCAATATTATGATCTGAAAATTTGAATCTAATTGAATGTTTAAAAATTTCATTAGACTTTAGTTATTAAAATCTAATCTAATTTTATTCTTTGAGGACTGAAATTTAATTGTATTTGTCTAGATAATTTTTATATTCTTGTAGTCCATTTTTTTCCGTTTTTTTAAATATATCTTTAGTCATTTTCTCAGGAAATGCCGTTACTCACTCAGGAAGAACTTCGCGCCCAGTTTATGCACGAAAAGGGGTAGGATGATCGAACCGGGG